TTGCGGTGACAGTGCAGGTTTTTTGTGTAAAGTAACCCTAGTGGTTTAAATTCACGTCATAATATTGAATTATCAAATGTGTTACAATTGGCCAAATGCAAAATATTGATATGACATGACAGAGTAAAAGTTAAACTGATTATTTTTGCAAACACATTCATGTCATTGTGTTAATATTCATCCAAGGAGTTTTGTTAGACACCTTGTTTTGTTTAACTTTCACTAGTTAGGATGCTGACATTTTTGCCCCCATTGTCTCCCATAGAAGGAGAAGGCTGTCAATGACAAGAAGGAAGACAAAAAGACCAAGGGAAAGAGAGGGAAGGCGGAAAAGGAGGCAAACGAGGAAAACCACTCTGAAAATGGAGACGCAAAAGCTAATAAGGTTCGTGCAACACAGCACATTTAACTTGTAACATCATTACCTAAAGCAGGGGTGTCAAACTCCATATGGCAGGTCGTGGGTAGGGAGATGTGTGTGTTACTTATATATATATATATATATACTATGCACAGTAAGGAAGGGAAGCAATGGTCAGTGAAGCAAAAAGAATTGCACACTTCAGATGTTGTAAGGTCGCCGAATCTGTAACACAAGATACTACCTTGTAACCAACAGACAGGAAAACCTTTACTGAAAACATTCAACAAAATTAAATGTGCTTGACTAGACCCTTGTGCTTTGCTGATGTGTGATCAACATAGGAAACTGGTCATGTATGCAGTTGCGTTTGGCAACAAAAAGATGCATACGCTTGCTGTCAAATATGGTGGATTTTTCATACTTCTGACTCAGTAGACCAAGAATTATTAAGATCCATGAAATCCACTTGGTACCAGGACATTTTAGCTAAAATCAGAATGTCCCTATCCTTAAATCTCTTGACTTATAGATAATAAGAAGTCTGTGGTCAAGACTCAAGGGAGCTGTGAAAGTAAATCAGGGATCATAGAAGTGTATTCCAAACTTAATAAACATTGGTGATTACCCAAAAGGGTACCAGTAATTCTGCCCCTGACTATACCATCAGGGGCAGAAAGAAAAATGCCATTTTCCAGACCAAATGAATGAATCTAGTGATTCATTAGAATTCTGCCTCATTCAAAACACAGCTCTTCACAACCCAGGTGCAGAAACTATCCACTGCCCGTCTGCGACTGTCTGGGGGGGGGGGAGCAGTGAAATAAAAGTAATGTGAAGCCAGGAAGCAAATAGTATGTTAAATTGGGGGATTTTCTGGGGCAGTGGGGACTGTGTAGGGGGAAGAACTTGCCGGAAATCTACCATTGTGGTGGAACTCAAAAAGAAAATGAATTGGGATGGGAACAAAAAATTTTAGGAAGTTCTGAAGGTATTTGAAACTTTGGGTGCAAAAAAGACCCACACTAATTTGTACATGTTGCTGGAGATGATGGAGATGACCTGCTTCAGAGATGGCAGAAAGTCACCCCCTGCAGGGATGTGTCTATCAAATGGCCTTAGTTAGAGGGTTTATAAAACAGCTGATGGAGACCAGTTTTAGAGAAACACAAACTATGGCGATACATTCTGCCTGACAGCCAAAGGCTGCACCATGGCCTACATGAACAAAGAAAGTTCATAGCTGTCAAGTAGGATTGTACTGCTTAGCTACAATGGTAGCTGCTAGGTTGTAGAGAAGTTCTCGAACTTTATCTTTTAGAGATACAGCAGGATATTGTCTCGATATATCAATCGTTAAGTTTAGGATGTAATTTTATTTTTATAATTTGATGTTCTGCTGTTTCATATGCATTTTTGAATGTTTAAAGTTAGACTATTGCTGTTCACTGCTCAGGATTGTTAATATTTATTCACAATTTAAAAAACATTAATAGTTAAACAGCAGGACATTTCAGCAGCATTGTTTCTTATGCCTGTATTTTGAGATGTTTGTCACATTAAACCCAACTATTTTAATTGGGAATATTTCAGGTTTATAAGAAGATAATTAGCATATTCATTCTCTTAATGCATTTTTGTGCTGTGATGATTCTTGATTAAGTCATTCATTTTTATTTGTACAATAACCTTTCTGGTTTAACCGGAGTGATTGGACTTGAGATGGATTAAGTAGATTGACTTTGTCATACTTGTGGAATTGTTTGTTTGGTAAGTAATATATTTACAAAAAAGAGGAATCATGCTTTCTCCGGGTGGGATTCTTGCTCTTTAATTCTTAAATAAAATCAATCTTGATCTTCCAACAGGTGGAGGACACCCCAGACGAAGCAGAGAAGGAGGGATCAAAGTCGGAGTAGTAACGCCTTTTTCCTCAGTGGGTTTCATGTGGTGCCCCCAAACCTCCATGACTTATTGTTAACAGAGGAATATTTTTATCAGTTTTCTAAGTATCAGTACTGGTTTCTAGCACAATTCAAAGCTAAACATGGAGGACTTGCAGTTATGGCAAGTGTCTGCAAAACAAACTCTTATTTTTAAGTAACATTTTGTGACTTTGTGTGTCACTCTCTGTGACTAGCTTGTTCAGCGTAGGAAAAGATCTCCAGTTGGTATTCTAGTAAGTGTGTCATAGCCTGTGTCTCTCTACAGAGTATTCTACTTTTGCAGACTGTGTGTGAGTGTGAGTGGATTGTTTTGCTCCTGCCCCCCCCCCCCCCTGAAATTGTGTGTATAACCAAGAGGAATAAGTCAACTGAAAACATTCCAAGTAGTAACATGGGCTGTGTTTTGTTTGATCCTCTTTAAAAAATAACAACTTTTAATGATCTGTGAAAGCAAAATTCTGTTCATTTGGGCGACTCGTACTGTATGTGGTCACTTTTTTAGCAGCTGCTTTTTTTTCTTTTTAAATAATGAAATTTCCAAACAGATCTAATGAATTATCCAGTTGTCCATGTATCCACTGTTTTGTTCTGAATGTCTCTTAATAAACGTAACCCTTGAAATTTCTCATTGACGCTGTTTAATTTTTGCTTTTACATTAAAATGTATGATATAGTTTACAGAAGTACAGTACATTACTCTGACAGTGTTGATAGGCTGTCTGGCGGGGGGAAAACTTTAATGTTTAAACCCTGTTTTTTAAATTACAGTTTTACTTTACGTATACTATTTTCTTTCACGATTTGTAAACTTTTGTTTCCTGGACCAGTACACAGACCATGCATAACAGTTCCTGTCCTGCTTCTCTGTGAAGTTCACATGTTCATGTGAGTCTCCTCCTACAAGTTATAGATGTGGTTTAGGTAGATTGCTACAAGTTATAGATGTGGTTTAGGTAGGTTGCTACAAGTTATAGATGTGGTTTAGGTAGATTGCTACAAGTTATAGATGTGGTTTAGGTAGGTTGCTACAAGTTATAGATGTGGTTTAGGTAGATTGCTACAAGTTATAGATGTGGTTTAGGTAGATTGCTGAATCTAAATGTCCAGTGGATTCATAGATGTTTATAGATTTTTCGATGTTGGAGTTCCTATTCATATTTCTTCCTGTCGAAACAGGTTGGTACAGTGGGGACACATCTGAGGCTGTAGCAAACAGCGGGAATGCAAGCTGGCTTTTCTGTGCCTGATAGGTTAGATTGCTGGGTTCTTAATATACCTTTATCACTACTGTCAGCTGGGCACCGCCAGGACTGTGGACTTCATTCACTGTCAAATTGTTCCTAACCTGACAAAGGTGTCATTTGTTGGGGGAGTGACTTGTCTTAAAATTGGCCATTGCAGAGGAAGAAATGAAAAATGCTCTGCAACTCTCAATATAAGACCCCAAGTAATCATGACTCTAGTGGTGATATATGACACCGCAAAAAATATAATGTACATAACACACTGATTAGCCATAACGTTAAAACCACTGACAGGTGATGTGAATAGCATTGACTATCATATTACAATAGCACCTGTCAAGGCAAGTGAACAGGTATTGAAGCTGATATGTTGGAAGCAGGACAAATGGGCAAGTGGAAGGACCCAAGTGATTTTTACAAGGGCCAAATTGTGATGGCTAGACGACTGGGTTAGAGCATCTCCAAAATGGCAGGTCTTGTGTGGGTGTTTCCAGTATGCAGTGGTCAATACCCACCAAAAGTGGACCAAGGAAGGCCAAGCGGTGAACCAGCGGCAGGGTCATGACTCATGGGTGCCCAGGGTTCACTGATGCGTGTGGGGAGCGACGGCTAGTGTGTCTGGTTAGATCCCACAGGAGAGCTACTGTATCACAGATGGCTGAAAAACGTTAATGCTGGCTATGATTGAAAGGTGTCAGGACACAGTTCATCACAGCTTGAGCTGTATAGGTCATAGTTTTATTTTGCACTTTTTAGAAATTGGTATTGTTTCAGTCATCCAAAAAATGTACAATAAAAAAATACAAAGCAAATTGTTTTAGAACAATAGATTTAGAATCTGTACTGATTTATAATTATACTATTTATTGAAGAGCCTTAGATGCATCATTGTACCTGGAATACAAGGTACACGTCCTTGCAACACAGGGACCATCCAGAACCTGACAAGTTTCACCCTCATCTGCAAAGTAGATATTGCAAGCAGTGAATTCACAACTGGATATGCAACAGCATGAACAATAGCAAATAATCTCTTCTATAAATTCAAGACATGAAGGAGAGTGAAGGATTTGGGATATGAACGGGATTTATTTCCACATTTGTTATTACTGGTTACATTCAAAACTAGATTTATTTTCAACAAAAATGTGTATATTGACATAATAAATTTAGCAATCTGATCGAGGCATCATTTAATAGTATTATCATTTAGCAAGCTAATCCTAAATAAAAATTGACAGTACCATTACAACATTAAAATTAAACGCAAAATGTGTATTGTTTAGGAAACAAGGCTGCTCTGTTTAGCAATATATTGTACAGTACATAGTTCTTAAAGAGCCAGTTCACCCCAAAACTGAAAAAAAGATCTTTTAGAGGGGCTTTAGTGCGATCTTTCCTCTAGGTTGCTCTGCAGGGAGTTGCCTAGTTTTGGAGATATCTGCCGTAGAAATGTCTTCTCTGAAATATAATGGGACTGAAAGGCTTTCTGTGGTAATTAAAGCACCAAAAAATACATTAGAAAAAATCAACGGCAACATCTCTTACCTGAAATCATGACCCTGTTACTCAAGATAATCCACATACTTTGTAGTGAGCAGTTTAATGTAGGGACTACGTTCTTCCACTGAACTCCACACAGCAGTTGTATCACTACGCAGAAGATACGAGCACGAGTTCCCCGGTGAAATATACTGCACAGTGATACGATTGGTGTGTGGAGTTCGGTGTAAACACCACAGAAAGAACGCCATTCAGTCCCATTATATTCGAGAGAAGAGTGGCATTTCTACGGCCAATGTCTTCAAAACTAGGCAACTCCCAGCAGAATAACTTTGATGGATAGAAAGTTCCTTTAAAGGATATTTTTTTTCAGTTTTGGGGTGAACTGCCCCTTTAAACATAACTCATATAAAATTGTACAAATAATTTATACCATATTTAACATGCTCATCTCCGTTTTGGACCCTTCTTTCTGACTTGGATTTAATTTAGACGCTATATTAGCATACACTCTGATGACAGACCCACTTGGAAAACATTTTCCATCCTTGCCTAATTCTGTTCTGCCATTATATGAATGGCTTAAAATATCCTCATGATCTTACATCCATCCATCTTCTTACTCATCTTCATACCTACGGGCGATTTTGAGACATTGATTAGTCTCTCTGCGTGTCTTTGGACTGTGGCTCCAAATAAAACAGGCAAATCTCACACACAGAGCAGTGAGCAGATAGGAGCGCCAAACCCTTAACATGTGAGGCTACAGTGTTACCCACAGAGTCACCTCTCCACCCAGGAATTTGGATTAATTGGAAGAGTAGAAATTACATAAGTACATCAGTCAGAAAAGCCCTGAATGAACATACTTAAAAAATAATACAAGCGTCACTTATTCACGTATTAATCATACACACTCACTAAAACTGCCACACCAATTTGCTGAATTCTCAATTACAAAACTGCTAATCTTTCAGGATGCATGGAGCAATGCATGGAGCAATACAGAAAAGCTTTGTGTACTGCTTGCTCTATTATTCCTAGCTCTGAAGTAAATATCACAAACGGCAAATTCTAAATTGCACAGCAAGAATCAAACCTATTTAATTTCATCACCACACTTTGGATGGCTTTGAACTAGCTTCCAATTTTAACTTCTCCCATAAATTATTAGGAGTTAAAAGATCATACCCCTGCTAATCTAACAGGGCTTATCATTATGGTAGAGATCGCACTCTCGGTTTTTTTTTGCGTAGGATTTATGCCTCCTTGTATTTCCAATAAATGAGCAAACTGTTGGCAGTAAAGCCAACAGCTATAGGCATCCAAGCTAATGAAATGATGAGCCAGCTAATGTAAGGAACGACGTCTTATCTCAGCATTCAAATCCAAGCTTAAGATCTGCTATTTTAGTCTAGCTCACTATAGCCTTAATCTAACTTGCCTTGAAATATACCACTCCTGCTTCAGCACGTGCTTTTTATATTTGTCCTATGTAAGTAACAATATCATTCCACTAATTCTTTCGTCATGTCTGGTCGGTCTCTGCACCCAGGCTGAACATTAATGAGCATAAGCTGCAGGTCACAGCTGCGTCGGCACCTCAAGGTGGCCAACAAGCCCTGCTGATATCAACAGCTGCCCTTACAAAGGGCTGAAGAAAAGACCATTATGCCATTTTAGTTCCATCAACAATTATTTTTAAGGTTTTCTGGAAGTGGTTGTACAGTCAGGTGACTTTGTATACCTCATATCCCTGGTTTAAGGCTTAGAATGTGGTTGTAAGAGGTGAAAGAGGAATTTGGTAGCTGGGTTCCGAAACACAAATCAGTCAGATGGATATATGCCGCATATATCCATCCGGGAAGCTGCTCCGCTCCAGCCAGAAAGCCGCTGGCTGCCAGCCTCAATAAGCACCACAGACAGCAGCCACCTGTCACATTTTCAGCACCTCTGACTCCCAGTAACTTGAGTTGGCTCACTTTTCTGAAGCCTCCCTCAGAGGGAGCTTGATAAGCATGTGATTGCTGCTGGCCCAGGCCACACAAGCTTCCATAGCACATGAAACACTGACATAGCTTAACACTGACCTGAAGTCATGGGTTCATGCTGTACAGTATGCCACACTAAACCAAGAAGGGCTTTATGAAAAGAAAAGCATAAAAAGCACAACTGGCCTTTTCCAAAACCTACCGAGAGAAACCGCAATCTGGGAAAATGTCTATGGACAGAGGAAACCAAAGTTGAGTTCTTTGGCAATACCAGAGATTTGTCTATAGGTGACCAAATTAACATATAAGGAATGAACACCCTACATACAGATAAATATGGTGGAGGATCTGTAATATGGTGGACTTTGACCCTATAAAAAGAATCATGAAATTAGAGGATTGCTGAGACATTTTAGAGCAAAGTGTGCTACTCATTGTCAAAGAACTAGGTTTGGATCTTAGATTGTGGGTCCTCCAGCAGGACAAAGGTCCAAAGAAGTCATCCAAAAGCACAAAAGAATGGCTGAAAAAGGGAAAAAACAACTGTTTTAAACTGGTTAACAGAGTCCTGATCTCAATCTGATTGAAAATCTTTGGAAAGAACTGAAATCTGCCATTGGGAAACGGGATCCTGCAAGCATTCAAGAGCTGGAACAAACTGCAACTGATCAGTGGGAGAACATGCCAGCAGACAGGTGAAAGGAAGCTTACAGACAGCTTCAAGAAACTTTAGAAGGCTGTCATTGTTGCCAAGGGTTAGGTGCCTTTAATGCCACCCAGGTCATATAGTATTTTTTTCTTGTGAAATCACTACATTTAAATTGAAAGGGCAAAGTTAAATGACTCTGAACATATTGTTACAATATTCTAATACAAACTTGGTACATTTATTTCTGAAGATATTGCACATTGTCCAGATCTATATAAATCAGACTAGAGTCCTTTTGCAGAACATGCTGGAGAAAAATAACAAAAACACCCTTCCGATTGCTTATCCTGGTACAGGACATGGGGTGCCTTAGGCACAGAGGTAGGGTACACCCTACACAGTGCATGCACATGCACACACACACACACAAACACACGCACACAAAGATTTGGTATCTACATCTTTGTGGGGACTTTCCATACATTTCTACAGTCAAAATCCTAATCACAACTATAAACGGTTTTCTGTTGTAAATTATGCGAGGCCCACCCGAGCTGTATCTGCACCGACAAGGGCCGAAAGCATGACCAAACCAAGCTGGTTGCGTCATCAACACCTGATTGGTCGAAATACATGGTGATAATGGGGATAATGGTGATCTGCGTTGATATGCATGGCCTATCTGAAAAAAGAGGGATATTCTATATATTATTCACTATTAATTGTATTATCACTATCAGTAGTATCGTACATCCTGATGTACTGATGCAATCCCAATATCTCGGAACTTGAAAATGTCTAACCACCTGTTTGAAAAATACTATACAACAACTGAATGGAATGGATTCATAATTCAGATTTACACAAGCAAATTCTAATTCTGCAGGCATTGGACACCACCATAACACGGTGATTCTCACAGACTTGCTAGTTCATTTTGTACACTGTGGGCACAGTAAATAAGTGTCTCTTTGGTTTTATGTCATCGTTGCTCTCCAAACCCGGCAAGGCCTATACCAAGCCGACCCTTCTGCAGTGGAAAACTGAAACAAACTAGAACAAAGCAATAACTAGTCTCATTTTGCAGTACGGCTTGGGTATGGTTCAGTTCCTGTATGCTAGTGTAAAAGTACCATATGATAACCCTCACCCCTACTCAGCCTTAACCTTAACGATAAGTAATCAAACAAAATACAAGACCTTTGCGTTTTTAGTTTTTTTGATTGCATTCACAGATTTTTAGATTAGAATGTGGAAACATTTTACCAGTAATAGTGACCTATAAAAAAGCCAGACAGTCTTTCCATTGAACTAGACTAAATCAGTCCAAAATAGAAATTACAGCTATACAAGTACCATATACTGTACCGGCCAGATTATATGCATAATCAGAAAAATCTTTTTATATACATTCATTTTTATATGTTTTGTTTTGCCGCTTTCAAAGCTACTGCAGACAAGTTGCTAGCAAATAAAATACTGAAATACTAAGAAATACTAAAATCATGCACATTACATGTCACCATTACATAATTTGTAATTGTAAAAGATTATTACCGGTATTTGAAAACCATCAATAACGAATGCTTTAAGGATCCATTCTGTCTTAGAGTCCATTATCTCTACAACATGGGGACCCAAGCACCAAAACTGCTTTGGTCAGTGCTGAAGCATATCACTATGGAATGACTTTCTTGTTGAGAGATCACCAATAAAAATCTCTGCCCTTTGCTCACAGTACAGTAGCAAGGTGTCTATCTGCACCCGGGTGAAAATAGCCACATGGCATCTATTCGGCCATTTATACTGCGCCGCCTCACTCCTTGTCCTCTGGCTCCACAAAAACATAAATATTGTGCTGCATGTATGGTTGCACATCATTTCAAGGGCTGAAGGCACCAAAGTGGGATACATTATCCACAAAATGTTCTAGTAATAGTTAGCTAGCCGAAGATGCACAGTAATCTTGGTAACTAGCTACAGGGTGTGAAATTCATTTTCCACAATGGGGGAGAATTCCCCTCTTATGTGTAGCAAAAAGCCTGTTATATTAAACACTAGGGTGGAAACAGCCAGATTGGCTATACACCCTGGGTACAAATAGCATTAGCATTATAGGCTACTGACAACTGGGTGCAAGTATCATCTGCCTAAACATTATTTGTCTGCATGGAAACTTTCTGCAGACGAAGGGAGGTCTGACATACCACAACCACAAAGTCACAGTAAGTAGACCATGCTGTCTTATGTCTGTCGTCTGTCTGCCTCAGAACAGCAGTGTGTCAAGTTTCAAGTTTTATTTGTTACATGTACAATCACACACTGTACCACTGTGCAGAGAAATGACTTTAAACCTGTTTCCTGGACTGTGCTTGGTGAAATATGTAATACAAGACAAAAGCAAAACAGTTTAACAAGATATGTACAAACAAGAATAAAATTATTATGAAAATAAGAGTAAAATAATACATTTACAGGATAAAGTCGCTATAAAATAGACAAAGATGAGAGCAGCTTAATAACAAACAGAACAAAATCAGTCACAGATCATTTAAAACATTTCAGTTTATACATAGTATTTGAACCATTCCGCCATTCAGTTTTTAATGCATGTAAATGTAAAGTATGTCAACTATTAGCATAAGTATTGATACCCAACATTCTGGTAGCTCAAAGGCAACCTATTTGCACGACTATAGACCTTTGTCTGTGCGCAAATGAAGAGAATGCCTCATTTACTGGGTAAAAACCCCGGTCTCTTTAATGATCGTTTGGCAAGTGGTGAATTTGAAGGAAGACCAAGAAAATTAAACTCAAAGTCGAAAAGATTAATTTGTACAAATGCACAAAAAGCACAAGGTTCCAGATAATATCTATGTGTATGGATATCCAAATGAGCAGTGCACTACAGACAACACCAAAGTCCTGCTTAGATGTGGGAAAGCGCATTATATTCTAATGAAACCAAGACCTTTACAGCCAGAACGCAAAGCACTTTGTGCAGACAAAAGGAAACACTACTCATCATCAGGGACTGATAATCTCATCAGAATCTAAAAAATAATGGATGGCACAAAGTGCATGGTTATACTGCAAAAGAAAATTATAGTCTGCAAAACTTGCTTGGAGCTGGAAAGCTATGAAATTCAGGACAGTGATCATAAGCACACAGCCTAAGAACACAGAGGTGGATTAGCAACAAATGGTGAATATCCACAAGTGAGCCACTCAATGTTTCACCTTAAGTCCCACTGAGAATTTTGCCATGCTCAGAAAATTGCAGTCCACAAGGATTATCCTAGTAACAGAAACAAGTTGACCAGGACAGTCTTATCTGTCAAATAAGCACATTTCAGTTCAGCCTTTGTTTTCTGCGGATAAATCATTTTGGATTTAAGTGTGGCACTTTGCAATAAAAAATGTAACTTGGAAAATGTGTTTCTAAATCAATTGTATCCAATAACACTTTAAAACAGATGCAGGGGGTGCATATTTTTGCAAGGCACTGCATCTAGCTTGCTGCATAGTTAGATGCAGTGCCTTGCAAAAATGATCAAAATTTTAAACAAACGTCACCAAAACTGAGGCAGCACTGCAAAGTAATAGAAAGGAAAATGGCCATTTTGAGACTTGATCGTGTTACCTTAATAACTCATTGCAAGTGTGAACAAGTGGAAATGAAAATTGCCCCAAAACTCAAGCAATGATGCTCAGTGGCAGCAATAGAAGAATGACTGCAAATGACATTTGACCTTGTAAACAAAATAACTCTATTTGATATTACTCTCTTTACTCTACTTGATCTTTGATATAACTTATTACCACTTAACAAAAATAGAATATGGATGCAAACCTACACTTAATTTCATTTCGAGACAAATCAGTTCTAGGCGGCAATAGAGGACAGATTGAGAGACTGCAGAAGCCTTCTTGTCAACCCAGGATCTTTGTTCCCAGGAACATTGTATGGGTCAGTGATGTTCAAACTGTAAGGCAAGAGATGATTTTCTGAATATAATGACATAAAGTTTAGATATATTTTTTTGCTATCCAATCCAATCGACAAAAATTATCATGGGGGTATTTAATTATGCCACTTAATCCTAGTCATTGGTGGCACATAAAAGAAGAGGCACAGATCTGGTGAACCTGCTTATACTGTGGCAAGTCATGCAAAGTTGGGCTTTGAAAAAAGATTTTTTTGGAGAGGTGGAGAGGGTGTGGAGTATAGACTTGTGCGGTATTACGGTAACATTTTTGGTGTACTGCATTTTATTCCATTAAATTTGTGAAGGACCTCCCTGCAGCGCAATAGCACCGGTTTTGAAAATCCCAGCTAAATACTGCACATCGCAGTATAACATATGGACAATATAACAGTATGAAGAATTAGATACAATCAAAGCCTAGTGTAGGGAGGCTAGTGATAGAGATGGGGGTGAGGGAAGGAAAGAATAAGATGGAGGGAGGGGTTAACGGGGTATTCAGGGAAATACATTGTTGTCATGCCAACAGCATTTAGTCTGCTTTCAATTTATTGGGAAAATTATAAATAATGCTAAATACTTCAATAGGTCTATAATGATTGTGTACACAACCTAACACTTTTCTCATTAAATAATGACAAGATTTATTTAATACTATTATTGTTCCTACAATCATCATTCACGATAAAGAGCTGGGAAATGTGTACATAAACTCATTATACTTTTTTCTCTATAATGGGCTAACACTCCAGTGGACAGAGTAAAGGGGTAGTCCTAGAGACCTGTTGGCTTAAATCCAACTTTCCCAGGGAATACACTATTTTGAACTGCCTACACAAAACCCATTAAAGTTAATGACCCTACACTGAAATCATACCATTCTCAGTAAAAGACTGACTAGCCAATTCCAATATAACTTCTGGCTTACTGAAAAAATGAAGGAGATGATAAACAAAGTGTACGCAGACTTCTCAATATGTTGATGTATCACCATAACAACTAACTCCATACTCCATACCTCATTCTGTGTAAAGCCTTGTCTCATTCCCTGGATGAGAAAAACATTTGGTTTTGGGACTGGTCATCTGCCATAGACCCTTATGTCACAAAAACCCAAAAAGCACGATAACTCAAAAACATTTGATGGATCTTTTTAAACTTTGCAGACACACTCTATGGGTGATAATCTGGAACTGATCAAACTCTGAGGGAAATCACACCAAAACTGAAATCATGCTGCTTAGTGAGGGCAAAGGATAGGGTGACCGAGGAAGACACTTAAGCTTTTGTACATGATAACTCAAAAAGTAATTGAAGGATCTTATTACCACTTCACAAAAACATATGGATGAAGATACACCTGCAGAATGTGCTTGTTTTGTGAACACAGTAACTGTGAAAGTACTTGATGAATCTTTTTGAAACCTCCCAGGAACATTGTATAGGTGATTATGTAGGACTTATTTCATCTTGAGACAAACTGGACCTAAATTGAAGCTGTATCAGTTACAGATCTGGTAAGCCTGATTAAATAGAGACAAGCCACACGGGGCTGGGCTTTTAATCATGATTTTTTTTTGAGAGGTGGGGAGAGGAAATGTTTTATATAAATGCATATTCTCTGGTATACATCCTAAATTGCCATTATAACCCACACAAACACAACAAAGGTAGGAGAAACAAATGATGATCTAGACTGTAATCGGTTTTGAAACTGTTACCAAAACATGCACAGAGGTATCAGGGTCAGCATCATGATGCGTATTTGCAGGCCCTGCCACTCGAAATGAGCCATTCTGCCTCCCCCTGCTCCCAATGCCCCCAAGAATTATTTTGTACCTTCCTTCCATGCATTCAATCACCCATGTTTACATAAATTCTTGTCTGTTGCAGTCCTACGGTGACTCTTCTATTGTACCAAATACTAATTTGTGAAAGTTTTCTAGTTCCATGTGATGCTGCAACCAAAAGGTTGAAAAAAAATTAGATGTTGTATCTTGGTACATTTATTTAGAATATTCTGTTTTTCATTAATATATTTATGAGTGAAATAATTAGTGCATGTTCTAAATTATAATGATTGCAGTGATTCCACTATAATCTTTTGCAAATAATAATAATAACAACAACAATGAGAATATAATATTCATCATATAATATAGTCATCATCATCATCAGATTCGTTTTAAATAGAAAAACAAGGCCTTCTGAATTTGGTAAGTTGTAACTGTCACCCCTTTTTAATTTGCTTCAGATTAGAAACAGTACTGGAAATCATTTTTAAAATATTACTCTTACTGATGATGTTTCTTCCAGTGAATCGTCCATTCCTTGACCTCACCGACACCCAGCGGCTGACGAGTTAACAGCAAGTTTGCAGCCTGTCGAGGGAGGGCGCTAACAAAGCAAAAGGCGATGTCGTGAAAGCCTGAGAAAGGAAAAAGGCCGAACGCCGGGGAATTAATCAAGTGGCTGTTTTAGAAATACACACTGAGGAAATAACCTAAAAGTGGCGTTTGGATCGAGTGATGGCCGAGCATCAGTGTTCAGAAATCGAAGCTGGTTGGTGTCGTTGCATTTATGATTTCTGTTCTTTTTTTGTTAAAATGGAGATGCAAGCAGTTTGGGGTTTGTGTGGCTAGCTCTTAGCTGCTAGCATGCTATGTCTGAATGGCTATATAATGCGCTCCTCTGTTTTCAGAACTGTATTACCTTATTGCTAGATTTCTCCAGTCGGGACCGTGTAAAAGATCTGCCAAGGTAAGCGGAAAGCAGTCGGACGTTTCACGATTCCAATTACTTTTTTTTAGAAGAGAGGTAAAGAAAAGTACTGTTTCATTTCAGATCCTAGTGGAGGAACTGGAGGAGTACGAGGTAGGCAGCGCTCAGCCGTCTATTACTAGCTAGCTAATTCTCACGTCTCGTTTCCGCGATATCGCTTTTCTGCTCCAGTTATTACATAATTTCGTTTTGGATGGTTAGGGGGCAGGAAAAACGTGTGTTGTGTACATCCAGACTGGCCGTTTTTAATGTAACCGCGTGTTTCCTCTTTAGCTGATTCCTAAACGCTGGAGTTGGGACGGCAAACAAAATAAACGAAAGTTCGAAGATTGGGTAAGTGTAGCGGTTTCTTTTTATGTGAAGTCTATACAGAAAATTGAAAACTTTTAAATATTAAACTATTGTTTTATTAAAAATTTACAGTACTAGATTATGCTATAAAAGCGTCTGTAGAATGTTGTTTTAATGACTTGGAAACTTAGGTTAGCATGTATTTTTAGCAAAAGATTATTATTGTAATATGGTCGATTGAAATTAATATTTTGCGTGGAAATGAACGTCTTATTGTGTACAGCAGAAGGAGGAGGGGCTAAGCGAGAGTGCGCAAAACGATGCTGGATTGGGGGCGAGAAACGTCTGTCAAGGCTCGTAGCCTATCAAAATTCGGTTGCTATTTGATACAAGTGGAAGAAAAAACAAATAGTGAATCTGATTGGCTGTCTGTGTCGAGACGCCTGACCGCAGTATATGCTTGAATATTCATTAGACGCAACAAGCTAGTTAATGGTGGTTGTACCAAGGAAGTATATAAGCACGAAAGGTGATTGGTGATATACGCTATAACATATGAAACTGAAAACCGATGAATACAATCCGGTACATTTACACGGGCCAGTTTCCCCCCCTACATGATATTACGGACTGGCTTAGCTGGCTAGCTAAGTGACTCTTGTGCTAAAATACCAGCTAGAAATACAAATGCCGACGATTAAATCGCCGAACGATGAGTTGTTATGTCTCCAAAACGTATTGTTCCAAAGTCGTATTACTTTTTAAATCCATGAAAGCTACCACGTGAACTCTAGACAGGTTATTTATCCCCCGTCAGCTCCGTGAGGTCTCGCCATTGTTTATACACATCCACGCGACACTTAATGGGCCGTCAACTATTGGCGGTCCAACTCTTATTCAGCAGTTTAGATTATTACAGCGCGTCTCATTAATTAAGGTTTTATACATAATTAGGTATTGTCGGGTTCCGTTTTATTCATTGTAATATTTTGTGATGCTTGCTTTCACACGCAAACCTCACCTTTATCACTGTACAGGTGACCCTCAATAAACACATCCCGGAAGATTATCTTCTGCGCCTGTGTCAGCGGATAGGCCCGCTCCTTGACAAGGAGGTCCCCCCCAGTGTCCCGGGGGTCCGTACCCTCCTTGGGCTTGGAAGGCAGTCTCTTCTGCGCAGTGCCAAGGGTAAGGCCTATCGTCGAGGCATCTACCAGATTCTTTGTTTTACTGTTGAGCTTCCGATTATGCTAGAATGTTTCATTCTTGTATCGCAACTCTAACTGTTACAGCATTCTTTTTTCCAGATTTTTTTTTCTGTAAAATATTATAGGTATATATTAAAATTGCTCCTTACGAAAATGGGTTTTTATAGTAGAAGCTGTAAATGAATTGGTGCATGAAGGTTGTCAGATATTCTGCGTTTGGTGATGCAGTCTTCCTTTCGCACAGGCTGTGCTCGCACAGTATGGAGTGGCTCTACTTTCGCGGCCTTGCATCGAGGAAGGCCTCCCGAACCGCCGGTCACCTGTGGGAAACCACCCAACATCGGTCAGTGTCGGTCAGCCTTTTACCTCCTGGATGAAAATGCTGCTTTTGTGCTCTGTCTGCCAGGCATCCGTTCCTGGGATCTTTTAAAATGGTATTCTTTGTTGTTTTTAGTTACCACTGCATTTGCAGTTTGTAGGTATTTATCTTTAATGATATGTATGATCACAGTGTTCAGTTTTGTTCAAAGAAATGAATGCATGTAATACTAGTTTAAGTGGCTGATTTTCGAAGTTATAAAATTAATTAAAATGTATTAAATTATTAAATCTCTTTTAAATTCCAAATTACAATTATTCCACTCAATCTGTAGGTTGGTAAGTTTACATTATTTTGCTTCCTGTGACCTGGCTACGTTTCTATCATGGAAATGTTAAATTGTTAGTATTTTAACTGGAGGTGTCTTGAGTATGATGTGTCAGATCCTTTATAGTAAATGAATCTACCTCGGTGTAATTTTTTGATGACCTCTTCTAAAATGTAGTATTTATTTTTCCAAAATGGCAATCGTTTACAAAGCTATGATAATTGTACCTTTTCCTGTGCAGCTGCCATTATGGGTGCCCGCCAGTTGACGGGGACATTTCGCTTTGGCCATGCCTTCCCTTCCTCTACCTACCAGCACATGAAGATGCATCGCCGTATTCTGGGCCACCTGTCGTCTGTGTATTGCGTGGCCTTCGACCGTACTGGCCGCCGCGTCTTTACGGTGAGAATTATGTAAAGCTTTTCAACTCATTACTTTTTCTTTCCTTACTCAGTTGTCTTGACAGTCTTTTTTCCATGCAGCAAAACATTTTCAGATAGCTTTTGCAATAGCTGTCTGCACTTGACATAAAAATGAAATGAAAAAATGATTCAGGTTAGGCACAAAAAATGTTAATTCTACTACATGGAATACATGTATTTTTCTGGATTTATTAATACAGAGTTCTCTTTTTCTTCGATTGTGCAAAGCATAGTTTCACACCAGGCGGGGTTTGTTTCTTTGTTACACCCTGGAGCAGCTGCTTTGCTGTTGTAAGAATGTTTTTTAATTGACAAATGGTAATAATTGTAACAGAAAATACACAGACATTAGCTATGTTTAATTAAAATGCAATTAAAATTTGTCTTGGTCATTCCTGCAAATTACCAAAAGCATTTGATTTACAATTAGTGTGGTGCACTAAGATGGAAAAGCCTTGTATATTAGGTGCTGTGGAGTCTAGACCCCCTAAACAGGTTTCAAATTGCACTGGCAACTCTAGGTTCCAAGGAAAATATCTGTTCCAAAATGGGAATTCTTTTACTGGTGTACTGGTATTCTGTTTTTTTTTTTTTTTTACAGTAATTATGTAAAAGTTTTAGAATGTGTTATTGCCAGTTTTGCAAAATGTTCTTTATTGACACATTATATTTAGACTCTTGTTAACTTTATAATGGCAGATAATATGCACTTATTGTGTATAATGATGTGACAGAAGTGATCAGCTGTGTTGAAACTAGATTGCTATTCAGCAGTCTTGTACAGCTTTGAAAAAAACGTTCATACTTACTGCGTCTGGCGTTAGTTGCCTCATTCACTATTTCTTGTATTTAATTCAGCTCCTTGTCTCGATATACTTCATTTATGGGCAGAAAAACTGAACTAAATCATTGTACTTGTACCTCTTTCCATTATGTTGGTTGTAGTGTGTACGTTCTCAAAAATCAATAGACTCTGGATGTGTGAAATGGCCATTGAAACAGACCCCCCCCCCCTCCCCTTTGTCTGCAGGGTTCTGATGATTGCCTGGTGAAAATCTGGGCAACCGATGACGGCCGTCTACTCTCCACACTGCGTGGCCATGCAGCCGAAATCTCTGACATGGCAGTTAACTATGAGAACACTCTCATCGCATCAGCCAGCTGCGACACTGTCATCCGGGTGTGGTGCCTGCGCACGTGTGCCCCCATCACAGTGCTGCAGGGCCACGCTTCTGCCATCACGTCCATACAGGCAAGAGCATCCTGACTGGCTACCGCTGCCCACAGTCTTCACAGTGACATGGGGGTCGAATATTCTGATCCTCCAGTTTTCACATCTCATGGACTTTCAGGGCCATGGGTTCGGTGGTGGGGACCCATGGGGGCTAGTTATGGTGTCTTGGTCTTATTTAGTCTTAATACCTTATAATGTAAAGATGATGGATCCTGAAAGCCACTGTTCTCTTTTTTTGAGGTGTATTATATTTGTGTTATTAAAGGCATACTTGTCTGTTTCTGGGGTGTTAGTTTTCACCATCGGCAAAAGGGACAACGCGCTACCTGGCTTCCACTGGAGCAGATGGGATGGTGTGCTTCTGGCAGTGGAACTCAGTCACCATGAAGTTCAAGTCAGTCTTCAGCAGTCTTTGACAGTTCTTTTGTACATACATTTGTATGTGCTGCTAAATGTTAACTTTTTGTCTCTGGGCAGTAAATAATACAATCTGATATATGAACTCATCTGTATCACAGGCTAGTTTAAAATTCTTTCAGTGTCTGTGTTTTCACTATGACAGGAATTTGCTTTGGTCCTTTTTTAAAATAAGGCCTTGTTCCATAGGCCTGCCATTCTTTAGGAATGGATGTTTATACCTGGTTTCTAGACTGAAATATTTTTTGTTGCAGCGTTCAAGGCATCACCAAGTTATTTTTCTTATGAAAGACAATGACCTGTTGTTCATTACTTCAAATAGGTTTCTTATAAACTGAATTGCATTCATATTAGAGGTGTCTTGTCATCATCTCTTCCTACAGTGAGCGTCCGTTCAAGTTTACAGAGCGATCTCGTCCGGGAGTGCAGATCTCCTGCTCCTCCTTTAGCTGTGGTATGTTCACCTCAAAAAATACACACAACATAGAGCTTTTGCATTCATATTTCTTTGTCACTAACAAACCGTACTAACCATTATATCATCATAAAAACTTTCAATAATAACACTGAAGAGTTGTGGTAGTTGACAATGAATGAGGAGGAATCTAATGTTAGATGTTGTCTGCCAGTCTCTTATGCACTGACTTTCCCTCCTCTTCTGTCTCAGGTGGTATGTTTTTAGCCACGGGCAGCACTGATCATGGCATCAGGGTGTACTTCCTGGGCACTGCGGAGCCTATGAACTTCTCTGAGTTGGATGCACATATGGTGAGATGTGAAGAAACTATGTGTTGTAACTTCCTTGCATGTGTTCATTGTATTCCCCAGGTGGGGAGTATATAATGGTTTTGGGACTGATGAACTGGGGCTAGAGATTGTAGAGGTTGGATGGATTAGATGGGGGGGAGATACATTGTTGCCATTCTGCCAGCACCTGGTTCTTTCTGTTACAGAGCTGCTCCTATTTCACTTTTTCGTCTGTTGTTTTCTTTCAGGATAAGGTTGTAGCAGTCCAGTTCTGCAACAAGAGTGACAGGTCAGCTCATGCTGATGCTTATTTTTGATTTACACACTTCCTCATTTAGATTTAACATTGTCCTCAGTGAAACTGTTCTGTGCACGACTTATTGTATTACGCTGTTACTTTTGTGTATATGGCCATCATCAGCCTTAATGAGTCTGGCCATTCGCCTCTGACCTCTCTTGTTAATAGTCTGTTTTTGCCCGAAAGAATTGCAGCTAACTAGATGTTTGAATTCTCTGGAGAATGTTTTTTTTCCTGAGGTGCTAAAACCATTATGTCTGGCACCAACAATCATACCACATTTAAAATAACTTTGATCACACGTCTTAGTTGTTATAATGCTTAGTCAAACCGTAACCAAACTTTTTGTCCCTGTCTGCTTGCTGCATATAATTGCAGTCATAGAAGTTTTTTGGAGGAATAGGCTGTTTGCATTACCAAGCAGATATACATGAAGTCGCCATTCAATGCAGTTACATCATTTTACATTTGAACTGTTCTTGCATATGTGCTGAGCAGAATCTTCTTAGTGTAACTAGTGGTTGAAGTAACGGGAGTCTTTTTCAACTTTTTCAAGTGTAATTTAAACTGCTTAATTACCTTTTTGTAAATTGTCCAGAAATAATTTGGGAATTGAACAGTAATTTCACTCTTACCTAAATATGAATTGAGATTTATTCTATAGGTGCAAAAATTACCCCAACGATGCATTGAAATTTCTCTTACACACACATTGAAGCAAATACATAGTAATCATAAAGGGTATACTATACCTTATGTGTAGTCACACCATTGTTCAATGAAACAAGCATTCACTGCCGCTCCCTGTGTCCAGAGTTCAGAAACACAAATCTGAATGAACCACTAACCTGCCACCTGTCATGTATGTCTGTTCTTATCCATAGTCCTCCATGCAGCCACTGTACTTAGTGCATCTGCACACTAGCCTGTTGCTCAGTATGTTCCTTGCTAACAGACTTTTCAATCTACAGCCTCAGGCTTGTGAGTGGCAGTCGAGATGGCACTGCCCGCGTGTGGCACTACCAGCATCAGGAGTGGAAAAGTATCACCTTGGATATGGCCACACGGCTGCCTGGGTAAGACGCTGCTCACTTGGAGGGTAGCCTTTTAAAGATGCTGGAGCATCTCAGAGAACTTTTGCTGTATGTGTTGCTGCTTTCAGTCTTGCATTGAATGTTTCATTGTTTTTCCTCAGTTTCGTGATTCTTTAGGCACATTTTGTTTGTAGAAATGTCTCATGTATTACTTGTTTATATTTTAAGAAAGTACTTGATATATACGTTAACATGAACAAATTGGATAACTATTTTAAACTGTTGGATATTTTATGTAGGAATTTGTCCCTTGATTGCATGCAGCCATTGGCATGGTCATCAATGACCTTGTGCAGTAAATATGCATAAAAATGATGGCATGATATGCAGGCAATAGCAGCGCTAGTTCTGGTTTGAATAGCCTTTGGGTCGATTGTGGTTTCAATTCACGTTTAGAACTTCATTTGGAGGTGCTGTTAATTAGAAGATTATTAGCTCTTTAGGGGAAGAAATTTTGTATTTTTCTCGTGCCTTTTACTGTGCAAATGGTTGTCGTACATTAATACTGCTTTTGGCAGTATTGCCAGATTTCTGCTGTGCTCCATCCATCCATTTTCTGTTCCCGCTTGATCTGAATGTGGAATGTCAAGACAACTAACAATCAATACAGTTTCTGCAGAACCTTAGTGAAAAGGCTTGTCACTCAAAAGCACTCGCTGATCCCAGTACTGTGTTTATACAGAATTGTCATGTATGGGTATCACTTTTTTTGTATGTTCTATAATTGTCTGTATTGTCTACAGGTGACTTATCTGTATTGAGTTTTCCTCAATGTTTGTGTGATCTTTGTTGTATTAAGACACTGAGTACTTTAGTGGATGGATGTCATGGCACGGAAAGCATTATCTTTGTCTTCACCGCAGGAGCAGTATAGGTTCTGGGGAGGATAAGACGACGAAGCTTGTTGTGACGATGGTTGCCTGGGACTGTGCGGACAACACCGTCATTACTGCTGTTTCCAACTACCTGCTTAAAGTGTGGAGCTCTTCCACTGGCCAGTTGCTGCATGTTCTGTCGGTAGGTGTAGCTGAGAATGAGGCTGTACTCTGTGTACATTCTTAGAGTTTTATTTACTATACTAACACGGGAAAAGTTTTCTCTTTTTGTGGGTTGTAGTCATTTTTGGGAGTCTGGGGAAAACATAAGTATCTGTCGTATGTCAGATGTGCTAGATGATTTAATATGCTGTCTTCTGGCATGGAAATTTATTGGTTTGACTCCTAACTGTACAATAATCCAGAGATTAATAGGGTCAGCCTTAAATTACTTGGATAAACAATAAGGCCTGATTTGTGGCAGCCTTATGTATTGTTTTGCTTAGCTAAAAGTCTAGATTAGAATACTGATCTATTATTTTTAAAAATAATTTTAAAGTTAGTTGCAGAAAACTTGTATGTTGTCCCTTTGTAACTTGTATGTAAATGTTACTTTGATTAAATGCTGTCAGTGGATGACTGGTATAAAACCAGGCATGTTCAGAATTTGAATGAATCTCTTATCCTCAGGGACACGATGATGAGGTGTTTGTTCTTGAAACACACCCGTTTGATTCACGGATCATGCTGTCCGCCGGCCATGATGGCAACATCTACGCGTGGGACCTGACAAAGGGCACCAAGATTCGCAACTTCTTCAACATGGTGATTTGTCTTAGCATGGAGCCGCTACTGCTTAGAAGTCCTGATTAGAATCTTAAAATTCCTCACCAGCTCGTTTGTTACAGATCGAAGGCCAGGGTCATGGCGCTGTCTTTGACTGCAAGTTCTCTGCGGATGGGCAGCACTTTGTCTGTACTGACTCCCATGGGCACCTGCTCGTCTTTGGGTTTGGCTGCAGCAAACCGTATGAAAAGGTGAGCTGTCCTCAATAACTGCTCATTTGCATCCGCTCAAACTTTTCAGACCTTCTACCAAAAAGCTGCTTGTTTTGGGCAGTTGGTCGATTTTAAAAATCTCCCTTCTCCTCCAGATCCCAGATCAGATGTTCTTCCATACGGATTTCCGGCCGCTGATCCGCGATGCTAACAACTTTGTCCTGGACGAGCAAACCCAGCAAGCTCCCCACCTTATGCCACCCCCGTTCCTGGTGGACGTGGACGGGAACCCCCATCCGCCACACTATCAGCGTCTGGTGCCTGGGCGTGAGAACTGCAGAGAGGAGCAGCTAGTGCCACAGCTGGGCTACATGGCTAATGGTACTGAAATCTCATCTAGTCTCACTTACATTCTGAATGAAAGTTTTGAATGTTTCAGTATACAGACAAAAATGTAAGTCAAAGGCTTGCTGTTTTTTTTTTTTTGAGCTAAGGCCCAGTTTACGACCAAATATGTATGAAAACAGCAGTAAGACGAATAAAGTTGCACATTTTATTTTTATGTACAGTTGCAATCAGAAATATTCAACCTCTCCACCTCAAAAGACATTATACAGTAAATCAGATGAAAGATGACACTAAATGACAAAAAAACATTTGATACATATGAGTTAATTTGACAACGGAGTTGACTTACATTTTTCATTTGATCTTCAAAGTTAACTCTTAACACGTGCATGTGCAGTAATATTCAACCCCCAGTTTCAGTACTTTGTGGAGCATCCTTTAGCTTTTATATCTTCTAACAAGCGTTTTTGGTAAGTGCCGAGAAGCTTCTTGCACCTCTCAATCAGAATCTTTGCCCATTCTTCACGTGCAAGACCCTCTAGCTCATTGATGTTTGATGGCTTCCGTGCTGCAGCCGCCGCCTTTAAATCCCACCAAAGATTTTCCATCAGATTTAAATCTGGTGACTGTGAAGGCCACTCCAGGCGGTTCCAGGATCTTTTTCTCAACCAAGCTTTGGTTGATTTGGAGGTGTGCTTGGGATCATTGTCTTGCTAGAAAGTCCAATAATCACCAAGGTGCAATTTGTCAACAGAAGACATCACATTTCTCCTTAAAATGGCCTTGTATTTCTGGGAATTCATGATGCCAGGTACACGATCAAGATTCCCTGTTCCTACTGCAGAAAAACAACCCCAAATCATCAATAACCCACGTCCATGCTTGACCGTGGGGATGGTATTCTTCTGGTCAAAAGCCTGGCCTTTCACACGCCAGACATTCCGCTGGTCCATATGTCCAAACAGTTCCAGTTTGGTTTCATCAGTCCATAGAACTGTCTCCCAAAACACTGCAGCCTTTTCCAAATATCTTGTAGTCAAGAATGGAGTGCGTCTTGGAGTCCGGCCATGAGGTCCTTGTTTATTCAGTGCACGTCTTATAGTTGCCACTGGGTCACTTGTAGCAGCCTTCATCAGGTCATCCTGTAGGTGTCTTGCAGTCACACAGGAGTTTCTCTTGGTTGTCCTGGCTAAGTTGCTAAGGGCCCTTGATGACATTTGGGCTTTCTTCCACAGCCAGGTAGGTTTGCAGCTGTCCCATGAGTTTTAAACTTCCTTATAATGCTCCCGGTGGTGTCTCTTGGAATGTGTTTCCCATGATTGCAACTCAACTTGAATACCTTCATGGGTGGGGTTTATATATGCATCACAGCTGAAGCAAATGAAGGATCACTGTAGAGTTTATAAAACTTTATAAAACAACAATATTATATGTGTTGAATAATTGTGACATGGCTATCGTAAAATATACTGTGTGTGTGTGTGTGTGTGTGATATATAAAATGTTCCCGCCTAAACTGTAATTTAGTATGAGTGTCAAGGCGTTTATGCCGTGTGCCTTGATTGAATAGTAAGTTTTTAAGAATTAAATCAATGCACATTACTGTCCTGTAAACTGCCTGAAATTCTGGAGGTACCTTTGTATCTACCCAAGCACAATGTCTCCTGTTGTTTTAGGTGATGGTGAGGTGGTGGAGCAGGTGATTGGCCAGCAGACTGTGGGGGAGGAGGAAGAAGAGAGCCCCCTGGATGGACTCATCAGGCAAATGCAGAACCAGCAAGATTTTAATCTAAATGCAGGACCAGCAAATGGAGGTGAGAACAAGGGATACCTGAGAACAAAATCTGCATGATATCTAACATTTCTTTGATTTTATCCTACTTTTCTAAAACTCTTTGCCCACATTGTAGTTTAGATTCAAAGAAAAGAGGTTGGCAGATTACCATTATTTTATTGGATGTTTTTATTGGATAAGGGAACAGTGTTAAAGACGTAGGATGTATAATATAATTGTTGCGTGTTATTCTGGTTGCATTCATACAGGATATTCAGGGGCATATGAGTATTTAGTCCTGTGAACCCACCCACCTCTGTTTCCTGCCTGTCTAGCGTGTAGTATGCTACATGTAGATTGCTATTATACAAAAGTGAGCTCAGAGGGATGAGCTCACTGCTGAACCCAAATTATGTATTTAATTTTTTTAGATGTGTGCTGCCCCCTCCACTGAATTCCTTTGCTAATTTCACTTTGCCAGTGGCATGGTCATATTTATCCATTCAAATTACCTTATTAGGTTAAGCATGAGTTCTCCAAGATTGTACAAGCCAGTATTACTATGGCGTACAGTATTTGAGAATGAGCATTTAAAGTTTTTTTTTTTTAAAAAAAGCAGGTTAAATGTAATCATTTAAATCTTTAAAAAAAAAAAAATACGACGACTGGCTTTGTATGTGTGAGATTAATTTTTTTTTTTATTAATTTTAATTTTTTTTTACCTCTCTGCTGCAGCTCAGCCAGCAGCGGAGGTGGAATCCCCGCCAAACGTGGGATTGCGGCGAAGTGGACAGGTAGAGGGCGTCCGCCAGATGCACCACAACGCCCCCCGCAGCCAGATTGCCACTGAGCGAGACTTATTGGCATGGAGTCGAAGGGTAGTGGTCAGCGAGGTGCAGCCAGCAGTCTACAGGTGAGAAGTCCACTATGTCACACAAAGTCAGGACGTGCATCCGAAATCAAATGCTCATTGGCTGAGTAGTAGGAGAAATCTAGTATGCGACATAAGCAGTATGTCTGAATCAGTATGGATGAGACAGTATGGATGAGACAGTATGGATGAGACAGTATGGATGAGACAGTATGGATGAGACAGTATGGATGAGACAGTAGGCAAACAGTACCCAGATAACACAGTACATTCTGTGAAATTCCTAAGTTTGCAACACATGGATGCTACGCTATCCCACACGGCCAGACGAAGAGCATCACTTGCTCGGACATTTTTTGTCAAGATGGCTGAGGACATGCCTTCTTTATAAATTTAAGTAGAAACCAGTGACCGGTTACATAGGTTGACTCATGATTTTTTTTTTTCCCCCCCATTGATAGTTAAACTAACTTTTGCAGTGGTACAGTACATACTGCATTATCGGTTGACTGGTAGGTTTCTAACGGAATTATGTACTGTGTAAGTAAGCGATTTCCGAAGCACCTATGGAATAGCTGTTTCTATGAGCCAAAACATTATGGGAATGATCATAATGAGTTTTATTAGAAACCTACCAGTCAACCGATAATGTTAAGGTCTGGGATATATTAGATGATAAGCGAAAATCTGGTTCTTGTAGTTGGTACTTGTTGAAAATTTGGTACTTGTTGAATGCAGAAGTAGCAGGGATAAAGGGCTGAGTGGCTGTAAGGGCCAAATCATTATGGCCAGAGCATCTCCGAAACAGCAAGACTTTGAGGATGCTTGTGGTAAGTATACACTGAGGGTGGTCTGAGGAGGGAAAACCGGGAACCGCCAACACGATTTTGGGCGGCTAAGACTTGATGTGATGCGAGACGTCAATGAAGGTTATCCTGACTGTTATGAACCAACAGAAGGGCGAGCGTGGCACAAGTCTTAGATCATTTTAAAAATGCTCACAGGAGTAATGTGTCCCGACACAGAGCACTGAACCCTTCTGCAAATGGGGCTATGTAGCTGCAGAACGGACTTGTTGTTCCAGCATATTCCACAGATGCTCCCGCAGACCTGCGATTGATCCGAGGTTCAGTTTTGATACGCACATGCCCATTATAGATGCTTTTGACGGTGGACATCACAGGCACTCTGTCTGGCTTTTGGTTGTGCAGACCCACACACGGCAGGGCCCTATGAGTCTTGGTCGTCCAACATTCTGTAGGTGGTTTGTGGTTCTCTTGTGGTGAACAGCTGTCTGTTGGATCTCACCATGGCTGACTGAGCACCCCACAAGCCTTGCGATTTTGATGATGCTCTGACCCTGTTGTTTGGCCGTGATTTGACCCTTTTGCCTTTACCCCTGCCCATTTTTTCTGTATTTAACACATCACCAATGAATACTGAATGTTGGCTCACCATCAGCAGAGTTACCCAGTTATTTTCCAAGGGCCAAACTCTGCCAACAACACAAAGCCACAGGCCCGTTATTGTTCCATTGTGCCAGTTTAAGTTGATAATATCTGCTGGGGCGGAGGTTGAATCGATAGTCATTTTCCTTGAGGTGGGACCCCTGATTTTTGTGTGATGGTAACACAAGCTTAGCTTAAACGCATTAATGCATGTTACTGCTCTCTGACTATGCTGGATTTCTATTCCCTTTGTTCCAGGATGATGGAAGAGCACCGACAGGCCAGGAGTGAAGCAGAGTACACGCTCTACAGCACTGAAAGGAGAAAGACACCCATGCTTGTTCATCGCAACACAAGAGTAAGAAAAGAAAATAACCTGACTCTGCGACACAATCTCTCTGCCTGGTTTGCAGGGTGGTCTGTGTGCTTTGATTGGCATGACTATTGTCACAAATTTTATGGAACCATTTATTGCATTTGAGTCAGTAAGATATAAAGAATGTAACATTTCATGATGGTTATTTATCAGTAGAAGTCAATGTGTGAGAAACAACAAAAATATGTTTTCCTGTTACAATAGTCTACACACCTGTCTTGAAATTGCAGGTTTTTGTGATGTAAGACCAGAACTCAAATCATGTTAGACATATTTCTAACTAATACAGTAAAATCTTGGATTGCGAGCATATTGCATTCCGGAAACGTGCTTGTAATCCAAAAAACTTGTATATCAAAGCAAATTTTCAAATAAGAAATAATGGAAACTCAGATGATTCGTTCCACAACCCAAAAATATTCATATAAAAATGATTAATACAAAATATAAAGTAAAAATACATAAAACAAATGAACCTGCACTTTACCTTTGAAAAGAATCGTGGATGGTGTGAGAGAGAGGAGAAGAGGAGGGTTATTTTGTAGGACGACTTTCACTATAACTAACGGAATCACTGCTATCTGTTGGCTCACTGGAATCTTTTTCTTTTTGTGCGACTTTAACAAGGAACCTATCCAATGACAGCTGCTTTTGCCTCCTTTTTGATTTTGCGGAAATGTGGACATTGCATTGTCGTTAAACAGATTCATTGCTCGCACTGCTACGGCCTTATTCGGGTGGTGCTTTTCTACTAAATTTTGACTATACGAGTGAGGCACGCCGACTGAGACCGAGCATGGGAGACAATTACCCACAATCCCGCACAGAGAGAGAGAGAACCATCGGCTCACTTGTGATTACATGACGCTAGGCAGATAAAGCATAGACAAAGCAGACCTCGCTTGTTTATCACGTTAAAATTTATTTTAAAATTCTGCTCGTCTTGCAAAACACTCGCAAACCAAGTTACTCGCAATCCGAGGTTTTACTGTATAGTAGAACAGAAATTCTCTTTTCGCCTCCCCTCATGATTTTCATCAATCTCTTGGCAGTTCCAGCCCTAGAGAACTGCAGTACGTGGCTTTTTCTCTAACTGAACCTTTCAGCTAGCTTTGCTTGAGCTGTTTGAATGAAAGCCATTGTGCAGACCACATTATTTACTGAGATGGTTAATTTAATCCCTGATTAATTAAGGATTTTCTAGCATCTGATAATGTTAAGAAATTGTAAATTTTCCCTGAATTATGCAGAGCTCCATATAATTAAAACCAGCTCTTTCTGTGTTTCCTGACTCATTGGAAACTGTACTTATCTCTCGTTTTGTTCAGTAATAAGTCATGTCCCTCTGGGTGTCCTCTTCCTGTTTCCCAGAATGAGCAGCAGGGTCCGGGCCTACGCTCCCTGCGTCGGACCCGCAGGCAGCAGCAGCGACACACCTACCAGACCCGTTCCGCTCGAGAGCGACGGCCGGTTCAGAGGACCCAGAGGGGAGACGGCCAGCAGAGCGCTGACAGCCAGGGGGAGCTGGACAGTGAGGATGAGGTATCGGTCCAGACTAATGCACTCAGGCTTCAGATGGGCTGCAAAGGGTGCCTCCTGTTTCTGGTTGTGTTCCAGATTGTGAATTCACTCTCTGTGTCCCTCAGAAACACTGGTCCCTGATCAGTGATCTGCAAGGAAGGATTTTACCTAATTGAAGTACTTGCAGTACGTTTCTTTTATCAACCTTGCTTTGCGGAGTAGATTTAAGCTCTGTTGACATTGTGTTGTCCTCCACTATGTGATGTCTTTCCTGTGAACAGCTGGAAGAGCAGGTAGAGGTCAGTGAACCATCCTCAGAGGGCGAGGCACAGTGGCAAAGTGACAGCAGTTCCAGGTCAAGCCCCCTCATTGTCCAATGAACACTGTATGAATTTGTCACCTCAACTGACTGGAAATGTAACAGTTTCCGACATGTAACTGTTTCACAGCGACGACTCCAGCGAGTACTCTGATTGGACCGCGGACGCTGGGATTAACCTGCAGCCACCCAAACGGCCAATCAGAAGGCCAGCCCGCCACCCGGGCAGCAGCAGCTCGGAAGATGAGAGAGAAGGAGATGGAGAGGACAGAAGGAGGCAGGCCGAAAAAAGGAAGAAATCCAAACAGAGCAAGCAGAAGGTAGGGAGATGCATCCTGCTGCATCTCACTTGCACCGCCTGGTTGAGATTTGGAAGGGAGCAAACCATGGACCATCAAGGGGTTCCTGAGGACTGGGTTGGGAAACACTGGTGTACACTATACAAAAAGCACAAATTCCAGTCATGGGTTAAAATCATTTTCAAAATGAAAAGAAGCCCAAATGCACTACCTAATTAGATTTTAATTTCCAAATTAAATGGTGCAACCAGATATAGACACAGTGCTCATAGAATGTCTTAGGATGCGTGCTTAATTCGGTAAACATATTGCAAATTTATACGTTTCATAACAAAAATCCATTACTTTATTCATTTGTTTTACATATATATATGATATAAAAAATCACATACAATTAACCAGTAGTCTTCGGGGAAAGCATTAATTTCAAGTAGTAATAAATTGAAACCCAAATTATAGTCCTAGAAAAGCTTTTCTGAGTTAAAAAGTACATTGACAAGCATGTCTGATTGGGTACTTTTTAAGTAATAACATCTTTGCAATATCATAAAACACCAAGCATTTGTATTTACTATCCCTTTGAGAGCTAGCGACTGCAATTGCAATTAATAGGAAAATGGCAAGAACAGAACTAATCAGTCAAAAAAAAACTGACATCTAATAAACAGAAAATATCAATGTGGGAGGTTATGTGCAGATACGTTTGCTAAACATTGCTTGCCAATGGACTTTTGATATGAAACAAATAAATTTGCAACAGTTTTACAGAATTAAGTTGGCGTCCCAAGACATTCCACGAGCAATGTGGCTGCAGCAGAGTATTTTACAACAGCTCTACAGCAAGTGCTGCTTCCAGTGTTCTTCTCTGACAGCCTCTCATCGTCTCCCCATGTTCTTGTGTCAGCATGTTGCTTTATGGGCTTAGAAGCTCGACACTTTGGCTCGACTGACTTCTGTTTCCCACAAGCAGAAATCAAACTCATCGCTGTCGTTGGCTGGGCATGATGCTGAAGAGTGGCTTCCCACGGCCTGGATCATGGAGACCATCCCTAGACGCTCCCCTTTAGTCCCCCAAATGGGAGATGAGGTGAGGTGCCCAGCTGCTCAGAAGTACAATGGTACCTCAGAACACAAACTTAACTCACTCCAGAAGGCTGGTCCAGCTGCAGTTAGGTCGAGGTCCAAGTCGAATCCATTCTAGACCTCCAAATGATTGCCTATTTAAACTTGCTTACTTTAAACTAAGAAATGATAGAAAGCATTGGCAATCAATATAAAACTAATACACACATGAAAAATTACACATACAAAAGCAACAAAATATGACATTTCTATACTCCAAAGCAAGAGCGGGTACATGTGCACCACCTTCAAATCTCGCTATAATTTTCTCTAAGTTCTACAGTCACTGATTTCCTCTTTGTCTTGCTGCTATCACTGCTCACTTTTAGGGGCCGTGATTGCCAAATGTACTAAAATCACACCAAACACAGGAACACAGCTTTCGCATGTCAAACTCGGTCGAGTGGTACCGGCGAGACTGAGAGTGATTCATAGACATCAGCATCCCAATTGGTCCATTTGCCTTTGTTTTAGCCCATCAGAGCTGCATCTCGGTCCAATCAGTTTTATTAGGTCTGTTTTGTATTGTCGTGTTCAGAGTTTTCGGTTGAGTCGATGTTTCTCGACTGACCCATTTGAGGTCCGAATTGGTAGAGTCTTTACCCATACAAATTTTAGCAATAACGGTCGAGTTCCAAGATTTTCGTCAAGGTACGAAAAAAAATGTAGACTTTGCAGACGCGAACTCATGAAAGTTATGAAATTTTGAGACTAACCACACCAGCAATTACAGCAGTGCCAAATAGTAATGATAGAGAAGGGCAACCTCAGAGATTCAATCTCGTTAGCGTGATAATTCATGTTGGATCTTTTTCAAACACTGCAGGAACTTTGTATGGGTCTGGGTCTGGAAATCATCGAATTTTGAGAAATTGCATCAAATTTGAAGCAGTGTTGGTTATTGCGAGCAGGAGAAAGGGCACATACAGAAGATACTTAATTTCAGTAGTACAATAACTGAAAGCATTTGGATCTTATTAGCACTTGTCAAAATAATATACGGATGAAGATCTACACCTGATTTCATTTTGAGACAAATCACACAAAAATTGAAGTAGAAGTACTATATATCACCATATCAAGGACAGCTGCAAAGGACACTTAATCTTGTGAATGGAGCAACACTAAAAGTATTTGAAGATCTTTTTAAAACTTATCAGGAACACTATAGGTGGTGGTGATACAATCACTATTCTTCAAGGTGGCGATTTTAATTTCGCCGTAAGAGTTGGGGGGGGGGGGGTTGAATCGATTGTAAACATCAGTTTAAACATTGGTACTGACATTGTTGTTCATGTTTGGTACGGCTAACATATTTGTCCAGTTGCACACAGCCTGATTTTGTGCGAGTTTGGCCCGGTGCTATCATGAATGAGATAGCGTGTGCAGAAACTTACTTTCATGTGACAATGTCTGCTTCATTGGATTAATCATCCATCCATTCATTTATTTATGTGTGTTTATCTTACGTCACCTGTATCTTATCTCTTAGTTTAGGCATGTTTGTTTGCATAATTTATGTATTTTAATATTGCCCAAAAAAACCGAATTCAGTTAATGTCTTATTGATTTTTGTTCAACTTATTGTTTCAGAAAAGAAATCTTAAGTTTTCTTCACTTATTTTTAACGTGCCTTTGTTTGCCAGTTTTAAATGAGCTTAAAAGCATCCCGCAAATGTCTGGTTACCTCTGCATGCTGCTGCTTGGTTTTTGCTGATATAAATTTTTTGGTGTCTTCTGTTTTCAGCTGATCTACTTCCGGCAGGGCCACCAAGCCTATGTCCGCGCGGTACGTAAGGGCCGCTCCTACAGCATCAACATCCAGAAGCAGCCCTGGAATAAGATGGACCTCAGGGTAAGCGAGACCATCCCATTCAGCGTAAGGCTGACAGTCCTCTGGCGTAATAATATGCAGTAGGTAGCAGAGATGTTGTTTTGTGTGTGTGGTGTTTAGAGGGGGGTGGTTGTATGTACTGTATTATGCGGAGCAAGTGCCCCCCACCGTGTGGTAAAACCTACTTAGCTTGTGGGGCCATTTCTCAGGTCCCCACAATATACACCTCAGTTTTATAAAAATCTAAAATCGGGCTGCCGCGATTAGTCTATTGTCGATGACGTCGACGCTGAAAAATTTTCAATATCATTAATATTTTAAATCGACGCATCTTTTTAAAAATTATTCCGATAAAATATCATTTATTATTTCTTAAATGTTTCAGTTCATTATAACAAACGTTTTTCATTAATATCACTACGTAATTATGGGAGAAGTTTAAATTATCGCTAAACAAAAAGGTGGTTTTACACTATGCATAGTGCGATGGCGTATTATGGCGGTCCTAGCACCATCCATTAGCACCAGAAGAGAAAACACACAGGTGCTCTTCTAGACCCCCAGAATAGGCAAAACCACTGTGTTGTCTGTTCATGCTTATTATTGGCATTATAATGGAGAGCTGTTTAATACCTTTTGTCGTTGTGGCTGATAAATACTCATTCTTTAAGCCATAAAGTTGTCTGCCTGCTACCTTGGAACCAAGGTATTATATATATCAAAGTTATGGTTAGGGCTGGGTAGGGTTATGGTTATAATTAAGATTAGCGGTTATGCCCATAGAAATGAATGAAGAGTTCCCGCAATGATAGGAATAGTTCAACTATGTCTGTTTCTGTGGGGGGATCCTCCCCAGGACCAGGAATCTGTAAAGGTTGTGGGAATCAAGTATGAGGTCGGCCCCCCCACGCTCTGCTGCCTCAAATTGGCCTTCCTGGACCCCATCTCAGGCAAGATGACTGGCGAGTCCTTCTCCCTCAAGTGAGTTTTTTCAAAAATGTTTATTTGATTAGTATTGTCCTTTTTTTATTATTATTATGAAGATCCTAATTGAAACTACAGGCTTAAACATTTATAGCTACTAAGTGATAATCCAGTTGTCACACTTTAACTTGTCAAACATTTATCTTTTCCCAGTAGAAATACATTGAAATATAAATGTGCAGATAGTGCTTATTCTCCGTCTTTTGGCTGAAAGCTCTTGTGGAACCCTCAGAGCACAGACTTCATTGATTTCAGTCATGCATGCCAGTTGAGAATTATGGAAAATTAGAGAGATCCTTAATTACAAAAACAAAGCTAATCAGCATGAGCCTGAAGATCCATGTATTGACTTTCTTTAAAATGTCTCCTCCTAATGTAGTCTTGCCTGACGTTACATTTAACGTAGCTACTTAGTCACAAACGGGTGAAGCGTGCCTCTTATTTCGTTATTATACTTTTTCAGGTACCATGACATGCCTGATGTCATTGATTTCTTGGTGCTGCAGCAATTCTACAGTGAAGCCAAGGAGCGTAACTGGCAGTCAGGTGAGGCCCCCTGCTGCCCCGGCCGCCCCCGCGGAGGCCACGTCGGGAGGGGCACGCTTTCATTTCTTTTTCTCCCAAAAGGTATCCGTTTTCGCAGCATCATCGATGATGCCTGGTGGTTTGGCACAGTGGAGAGCCAGCAGCCCTTCCAGCCTGAATACCCAGATAGCCTGTTCCAGTGCTATGCAGTGCGGTAGGTACAGCAGTGTCTCACTTCTGCCAACCTGATGCGGAGGCACCCAGCCCTGGACTCGTGATCTCCTGTGTTTGCATTCAGACTTTTAGCTACTTTTTTAAAAAATAATCGCTGAATTAGTATTCTGAGAGAAGCTAATTGCTGGCATGAAAAATGTTTTGCAGCTGCTGAGAGCCACGAAGAAACCCTTTTTTGTCATTACTTATCATAACTTTACACGATCTAACTGAAACTAACTTGCCACACACTGTTTAAGATCTCATCCTTTCAGCTGAAAGGCCAGGCATTGCCTTAAAATGATGGCGAGAATGCTCTTGTTTACAGCTTACTGGGGATTAAAGCACTGCTTTGCCATTTTTGTCATGAGGCTATTATCTTTTGTTCTTTTCAGGTGGGACAATGGTGAAAGGGAAAAGATGAGTCCCTGGGACATGGAACCCATTCCAGATGAAGGTCGGGACGTCCGGCATGCATGTGGAACCCTTAGCATGACTATAAACCATTATAACACTCACTACGGTTTCATTTACATATACCGAATGTGCAAACTTTTTGCACAGCTGATAAAATTTTTGTTGCCTTTTCTTCCATATACGTTACAATTGCTTTCATATGTTGTTGCAATGAATTAATATGTTATGCCTAATGCCTGATGTATGAAGTGAGAATGACTGGTTATCATGGCTTTTGCTGAAGTGGGGAGTTCACCTTCGTACCCCTCCTTTAAACAGATTGTACTGTAGATGAACCTGCGATTGAATACGTTGTTATAAAAAAAGATAAGTCTTTACATAGTAGCAGTTTTAGTTGCTGAGTAAATGGATGTATGAATTATGCATCTCTACATCAATTAATAAATGTACGTAGAGTGTTTTTGGTAGTTTTCCGATAAATCTGCCGCTGCCGAACGCTGGCTGACTTTCGTCTCTCCCTGCACAGCTGCATTCCCTGAAGAGGTGGGCGACGGGGTTCCTGTTACCGAGGAGGAGCTTAAAGCCCTGCTATACGCCCCCCAGGAAGGGGAGTGGGGCTCTAACACACAGGACGAGGAGTGCGAGAGGGTGATCCAGGCCATCGATCAGCTCCTCACCCTGGGTACCCCGTTCTTCGCCTTTTTCCACCTCTTTTGTCTTGAGAGAACATTTATCAATATTCTTTATATGGAAATGTGGTTGTGTATATTAGTGCATTTTCGTGGCGACCTGGTGCAAAGGTCCTGGTAGTAAATGGGTGTGATGGAAGTTTAACTTTTGTCCTCTGGTGTGTCTCCTTATTTGAATACACACATGCTAATCTGACATGATTGTAGATGAATTTGTGTGATTTTTTTTTTTTGTTCTCAGATATTGCTAAAGCCTTCTCCTCGCCTGTGGACCTGAGGGATTACCCACTGTACTGCACTGTGGTGGCCTACCCCACTGACTTTAGCACTATTCGGAAACGGTTGGAGAACCGTTTCTACAGGCAAGTACTCCCATTATAGCTGCTGCACTGCATCCCAGCTGTCTCCCACCAGACTGATTCCACCCTAACTGGTGGGTAGCCCTTAGCTCTTTACTGACCTCAAAGAGGCCAGAAACCCAGGTAAATATAATCGTATAATAGTTAATATATGTTGCTCAGCTATACTTGACCTTGAATAAATCTATAATCCAGCAACCATGATTTAAACCAGTCTGTATCAAAATAATTTTCCTTACTTCATTTCCTACTTGAACAGTAAAACATAATCAGTATATACATTGACACTCCTAAATGATTATATGTGGTTATTCTGTTTCACACAGTTCTGTATTTATGCGGCTTGACAAATTATTTATTGAATGAATTGCACAATTAAGCCTTGTAAAACCACATTGTTAGAAAATAATTTATGTGAATTGTATTAATAATTTTCTATTTACTTATGCTTACCATCCATCTACTGTTGATCTTCTAGCCACTTATCCTGGTCAAGGTCACACAATTAATGTCTGTAGCATAATTGGGCCATTAGCAAATTCTGCAATGTGATTTGAAGTCCATTCTAATTAAAAGCTCAGGCTTATCAAAAAACTAACATTACCAAAGTCAGTGCAATGTGGTGATTAAATCTGATAATGCCAGTGGGAATTTTTCACTATAGTGTCAAGTGAAAAAGCAGAACTAGGACAAACTAGGCTGGATTTATTTCCTATCCAGATCTCATAAGATGATGACATTGGTCCCCAAAATGACCATAACAATGTCAGTCTTCTCTTGAATACACTGAGACTGAGTGTCATTCTTTCTCGGCAATTAAACTGGCAGAAAATACATTTGAAAAATTCAACAGCAGTGCATCTTACCAGAAAGCAGGACCCAGTTACTCAGTCTGGTGACCTTGCTGTAAGCAGCTTAATGTGCTTTCTTTCTACTGAAAGCGTATCACCGTGCATACGATGGCAATGAGGAGCTTGTGCTCCTGAGAGTGTGACCCGATGTTAACGTCAATTGCGTCGTCCTCATCTGAGCTCAGTGGTGCTAGGTCAGCTAGCGGGATCGGTTAGCATCAGCTACCTACTCTAAGAAATGGCAACAATAATAGCTTAGTTAATAGTAATAATAGCTCAATAGCTGGTAGATAAATAGCCAAGGATGGACATAACTGGTACACAAGTACGCATTCGCAATTAAAAACAATACGTGTGACAAATGAGGTAGTTAGCATGTAAAGATTAAAATGCGTTATATTTTTTTGTCATAACAGTACAAATGCACATAAAATAAGTACACATTTGCGCTTTTACAATTGATTGTCACACATATCATTTTTAAAGGTGAATGTGTACTTGTGTAACAGTTATGTCCATCCCTGTTAATAGCTCACTAGCTGGTAGTTGTGAACATGGAACAAATAAAATTAGTATACTAATGTATTTTGCACTGCTCGGGATGCTAAACCCCACTTCCTGTATCTAATGGTGTGGTGATCAGCTTTGCTAAAATAGCCTGTTGTTATTACTTCAACAAAACTGGATTAATAATGTGTGTATTCTATAGAATCAGATTTGAACATTAAGAGCTGTGAACTCAATATGCTTCTCTCTGTTCACTCTTTCACTGGAGAAAAACTATATATTTTTGTGCTGTCCAAGGAAGACGTATGATATTGTCTTGATGAAATTAGCTATATGTGTCAGATTATGTCCTGTGTTTTTTGAGACAGATGGCATTTCATAGAGATGTTTTTGAGCTCGATGACGCTTTCTGAATCTGCAGTGCAGACTTAAGACTGACATATACTTCTGCGTGGAGTCTACACTGTAGGTTGCCATGTACCCTACCCTACAGGGCCACGTACGCCGTAGTCTGACACGCACCCTGCCAGAAATGTAACTACAGGGATCAGGCTATGGTGTAGGGTACGCAGCTACCTATGGTGTAGATTCTCCGTGAAAGTATAAAGCAGCCTTTAGATGGCTGCAAATTTTTAAAAAGTGATTAAGGTTGCTTATAGTGTGTGAATATGTGTGTGTGCACCATGTAATGGACTGCAGTCCCTGTGATGGGTGGGGGAAAACAGCCACAGAAAGAGGGCATAGGCTCTGGTAGAGAACAAGGAACAGATGCCTGAGTATACTTGTGTATTTTGCACTACTTGAGATACTCCGCCCCCTTCCTGTGTAATGGTGTGGTGATGGGATCCTTTTGCAAGGCCCCGAGTGCTTCAGGGACACTGGTGTTGTCCACTCTATGATCCTCACTATTGAACACAAGGAAATCCAGCTTGGTTAGACTGTGTTCCTGCCCGGTCATGCTAATGAAAAATGCAACATAAGTAGGAAATTTTCATTTGCAGTATAGTGATCTTTGTGCTCTTCCCTGCAGGCGGATCTCGGCACTTATGTGGGAGGTTCGCTATATCGAGCACAATGCACGCACTTTCAATGAACCCCAGAGCCCCATTGTCTCAGCAGCCAAGGTGGTGACGGACGTGTTACTGCGCTTCATTGGGTATGACACCTGTTGTCTACGTTTACTATACTTAAATTATTTTTGAAGATTCCACTGTATAGCTGGTAGTTTTATGCGTCGGTACACATTGTTCTGTTTGAGTTTTTATAGATGCATCAAAGTGTCGCCTTCCTGAATTGATGACCTTGTTTTGACCTTTAATTTCGTCGCTTCATGTGTATCAGAGATCAGAGCTGTACCGACATCCTGGAGCTACACCACAAGGTGATAACTGAGGTTAGCAGTGCTGCAGAAGAGGAGGTGAGTGAAGGGTAACTTACAGTTTTGGGAGAAGTTGATAGTGCTGATTGGACTGAGGGGGATATTACATGTTTTTTGTCCTTGGTCTATTACCTGGAAGTCTAATTTTATATTTACATCTCAAGTATTCAGGCAGTTCACAGGTTACAAGGGAGATACAATCATTAAGTCTGTCTTTCAGTCAAATTTGTAGGTATGTCAGAAAAACAATACGGTAGTAATAAAAGTAACCAAGTACAGTACTGTACCTTGAGCTATATGTAGCAATGTTGACTAGCGTCACAAAATAGTAAGTGTGTGTGTGTCATTACGAACCATTGTGTTTAAGCCAAATTTTTAATGTAATAGGCTTTATGGCAGTGCGTTCATAAATATGAACTGTCCATAAGTCAGGCATTCCTAACCAGGGCACTGCCTGTACTACAAGTTGACATTTTTTGCAGTCTTTGGTGTGATGCTTTCCTGTTTCAAAAGTATATGAAACCTATACTCTACTTCTTTGTATTGTCAAACCGTTCACGAACTGTAATGGTCAACTGATCTCAGAGTAGCTGTGTTCCGAAACGGGGAATACGTATGGTTTTTGGACCGGTCTGCCACCAACACAGACTCTTTCTCATTAGTCTGATAACTCAAACTATTTGAACTTTTTTCAAATTTTGCAGACACATTCTGTGTTTGACAAACTGGAACCAAATTTTGAGACAATTTACCCCAAAATTGAAGCAACGCCCCTTTGTGGCAACAAAGGGAAGAGTGGCAACAGAAGATGCTTGTTCACCTTGTGAACAAAGATAACTCTATTTGATCTTTGATCGTCTTACTGCTTCATAAAAACATATGCATGAAAATCTACGCCTGATACAGCTGAGACAAATCACCTATAAATGAAGCAGCAGCACTAGGTGACAGCAGGGGACTGAAAAGGAGGTGACAAAAGCCACCTTGTGAACACAGTAAACCTGAAAGTATCAATATTGCTAAAAATTCCCAAGATCATTGTATTGGTCAGTGATTTTTAAACTGTGGCCCCCAGGATGAATTTCTGAATATTTTAAAATAAAGCTTGCCTTTATTCTTTGCCAGAGCCCCAGTTTGGTAAATTTTATCGGTGGCAGTCCAGTAGCCAGTCAGCATAATTATTTTAATAAACCTTTTTTGGAGTTGTTGATCGAATGGGGGAATACAGATTGTAGTGGTTCGGTGTGTACGAGGCAGGGTTATTATAGATTTCAAATTTGCATTAGTTTTTCATTTTCCATTTTATTTTTCAGCTTTAGCTGTTTCACTTTTAAGAATGTACACATACTTCTAGTTTAATTTTTATCTTATGAACATTTCTAGTTTTAGTTTAGTTTTTAGTTACAGTATTAACATTAGTTTTCAGTAGCATGTTTTCATACCACACTGGAAGTAACTTGTGTGCTTTCACCGTACACAAGAAACATCTAAGGAGAAAGTGTGAAGCATTTTGTTTTCCTGCCTTACATTCCCTTCCAATTTTAAGATAATAGAATGGTAAAATAGTCATGCAGAATTTAGGAGGGTTTTTTGTATAGTACCTGAAGAGCTGTACTATATTTATACAGGTCAGAATCTGTCAAACTGGCCAATACCCTATTTCCATCCATGTGCTGACTAACCATAGTAGTAATTAAATGTTTCTGCATTAATGTTTTTATTTAGACACTTTCAAAACATTCTAAAATGGAGATTTTTTTTTGGCAGGATGCAGAGCTCGAAGTGGATTCAGACACTCCTGGGACTTCAACTGGACAGAGGACCAGTAGATCTGCTGTTAAGGTTGGATTAATATTTCAAATTTATCCTTGTGATTCCATGTATTTATTCCGTTTGAGGAATTTAGCCTGCGGTAAATTAATGCCGTTTGAATACACTAAGTGCCTTGGATAAGACTTGGATAAAAGTTTATCAGTCAATTTATCCTTAAACATGGCTATTTGACAAAAAATATTTTAATGACTGAAATGCTATTTTACAGCAAGAGTAAGCAAAAGTTTCATATATTTCAACCTGTGTCACTTCTGTTCAGGATCAGGCCCAGCTTCCGTCCAAGAAACGAGGGGTGGAGCTAGATGTGCATGCGTGGCATGGGCAGTGTCGCGATCTGCTCCGTCGGATGCTGGAGAGCCCTGAATCGGAGCCATTCCGCCAGCCTGTTGACCTCTTCGTTTACCCGGTATCTGGCATCGGCTTTGTTTTGGGCGCTTATCCACCGCACCAGGTACCATACTATTGGTATCAAAAGTACCAAGTGTGGTACTTCAAGGTACTGGTTTTCTCACTGGCATAAAAACTGGTTCCAGTGCTGGATGATATCCCAACACGAGGTGGGGTGTTTTGTACTGAATTTGAAAAATGGTTGTAGTATATTATAGGGCTGGATATCTCTGATATTAATACCAACATCACATGCAGTTCATCGTGATCTATTTTCTGTATCTGTTTTTCCAATCAGATCACTTTTTTTTTTTTACCTCGTTTATCATTGTTTACTTGGGGTGTAATATTACGACATGACGAGATTTCTCATCGAAGTGAAAAGCGGTCTTGTGAAGGCGCTGCAAATCAGCTGCTGTAACCCTGTCGGCAAACAGATGAAATTACCACAGCAGATGCCCTAGACACTTTTAAAATCTTTTGCGTGGCAGCATTCTGGGTCCCCCGCGGAAAATAATAAACGGTGAAAGGATGACAGACAAAACACGAACCATCTGTAAGCACTGTAGGAAAATAATGCCGTACACAGTGGCTAACGCTACTACTATGCAAAGGCATTTGCAGCACCATCATAGCTCTTTACTTAAATCCACTGCACCGGTGAAGAAAACATTAAAAGGCCAGACAACGCTTACAAATGTGTTTGCACCCCAGCTTTCACAGTCAAGTGAAATAACGAAGGATATCGCCGTTTTCATTGCAGCCGACATGAGACCGTTTTCTGTAATAGAAAATCCGGGGTTTTCGGCAGCGACTCAAAACATTTCGCCATACATCTGCATTATTTGCCATTTTTTTGTCTTTCAAATTAATCAAATAAAAGGCTGCTTTCCAGTAATATATTTCCTCTTTGAAGTTTTCCTTAACATGTTGTCAAAATATCGTCTCATCTCATCTCTTGGGCTGAGTATAATCACTACACTTCTATTGTTTACTTTGTTCGTAACTTTTTCAAGATTGCAGTTGTATTGTGTTTAGAGACAAGCTACTTGCATAGCCAGTCGCCAAAGAAAGTGTTTCAAGTCCCACCCCGAAGTTCCCCGGCTAGTCTGGCACTTTTGGAACAGGAACTTTTGTACTGGCACTCGACTGGAAGTCAGTGGAAAAGGGAAAGTACCAAAAGTATGGTACTTGGTGCAGTGGAAAAGCACTCTTTGTTTTACTTTGGAGTCCTGTGTCTCTGGGCTTCCTTGTGCATACTTTGATGAGCAAGTATACCTTATTCTTTGGTAGACTGTCCCACTATGACTGCACCAGCATGATTATGAAAAAATTACAGATTTTTAAAAAATATTTGTCAGTTTTAAATTTTAATATGCTGTATTCCTTCACTAAGTCGGCTCTGCAATCTCTGCTAGGATTACCGAGACATCATTGACACGCCAATGGACCTGGGCACCGTGACAGAGACATTGGCTGTTGGGAATTATGAGAACCCAATGGAGTTTTGCAAAGACGTCCGGCTCATCTTCAGCAACTCAAAGGCTTACACACCCAACAAAAAGTCACGGGTTAGAAAGTTAATAGATGTTTTTGCCTGATCTCTTTTTCATGTATTCCCTCATTATAGTTCTCTTGAAATCCCCCCTCTTTTCTAAATTATGTGCCATAATAAAAATGGTTTTTGACTGTTCAGTGTGGCAAGAAAGCAATTGATAGAAAAATATATTACAAGCATGTGCCACTGATACTATGTGGAGGTTATAGTGATTTTCGCTTATGTTAGAAGTTCATGGTTTGAACCTTGATTTCTTTCCAGATATACAGCATGACTCTGAGACTGTCGGTATTCTTTGAGGCCCAGATCATCCCCATTATCTCTGACTACAAGTCAGCCGTGCAGAGCCAGAGGCGGAGCCGGCAGAGGTTGAATTATCGCAAACGTCTGCGCAGCAGCAGCAGTTCACCTCCTGCCAGTAGACCTTCCAGGTATCCCTACTCTGCAGTTTACTCGTATAAGCTCTGTCCATCCTTGCCATTGGTCCTTGCCCAGAATCTCTCTGAAACACCATTTTGTAATATCATTTTGTGACATGTAGTAAAGGTGCAGCATAGAATTCAGGAATGACTAGCAGGTTTAGATCCAGGACCTTTAAGACCTAAAGTAATAAAAAATGTCAGGTAGTACAACTGGGTGCCATCTTGATTTACTTTCATTAATCAACAAACAGAGGTATTTAGTTTGCCTTCATCATCTGAAATTTTGATACTTTCTTGCCTTTGTCCAGTCCAAAAGGGAAACAAAAGCCAGGAAAAACAAATTCAAAATCTTCTGCAAAATCTTCTGTTTCTTTGGCAAAGAGCGCTTCCAGAAAATCATCTCAAGGTAGGAAACAGAATAAACCGTGATAAACATGACTAAACATTAAAAGTAAACAAGTTGTAGTAACGTGGCCAGTCATATGCTGTGGTCCTGGGGGATTGTCAAAAATTTGTTTCTGTGTTTTCAGACTTGGATTCAAGTTCAGTATCTGTGGTAGATGAAAATGATGAGGACAACCAGCCATCATCTAGCTCGAGGTTGGGGAGTCAACACAGTGGTCCCGTAGTGGACAGGGTGACACGCAGCAGAGCCACACCAGTTAAAACCTCAGGTACCAGTGATGCATTCACTATAGGGAAATACATTTTTTATATATCTGTTTTTATATCATTTTAAATGTCAAGTCATGCCATGTACTCTATTGATTTACTTTGAAGATACTTATTATTTTTTCCTTTTGGTTCTGTGTTGGGTGTTTTTGTGTAACACACGCAGAACCATCAAGTAACGGACCTCTGACTAATGGTGCTGGACGGACCCTGAGCTCTGCCACACGGAAACGGCTCGGCCTTCGATCAGAGGAAGAAGCAGGGGGAACATCCAGCAGTTCCACGTCGTCGTCTTCTTCCTCTTCGTCCTCATCTTCGTCATCGTCCTCGTCATCCTCTTCCTCCTCTTCTGACAGCGGAAGCAGTTCTGAGTCTGACGTTGCCGATTTTGTCGATGGGGGAGACCATGACTATAGCAAAGCTCCACAGCTGCGCCCTCGGGGCAAGGCAAGGGGCAAGGTGGCAACCAACGGCACCAAGAAGAGGGCCGCCGATGAAATTGCAAGGGTGATGACGAAACGAGCAAGGCTGGAAAAGGAAAAGGAAGTGGAGCCGCAGGAAGAAGAGGATGATTCGGTTGAGGAAGAGCCAGATGAGGAGGAAGAACCAGAAGAAGAGGAGGAACCAGAGGAAGAAAATGACGTAGACCAGAATGTAGTCCAAAGGAGGGCGCAAATCAACCAGCAGACGGGCCAGAGGAAGTCTGCTCGGGTCAACACACGAAATCAGGGCCGCCGGACCGTCCTATATAATGACGACTCTGAGGATGATAACCTGGCAACCAACGAAGACCCTCTGAACTTAGGCATGTCTCGCTCGGGCAGGATCCGTCGCATGACCGAGAAGGCCCGAGTCAGCCATTTGATGGGCTGGAACCACTAACTATCCAACGACTCCTTTGTTTTATCCGGCCATGTTCCCACCTGTTTGTTGTGATAAGACACTTTACCTTAAAAATGACTACATTTTATACTTCAGGGATTTTTTTTTCTCCAAATTCTCTGTGTGTCTGTGTGCGTGCGCGTGTGTGCAGGAGACTGTTTACGACTTCCAACTGGCAGTGGTGCTTTCAAATTCTTGCCAATGAAGCGCTCTGGCTCCTCAGAATTCCTTATCACAGTACAAACCCTAAGTCTCCCAAAAATCCGCCTTACTGCACTCCTGGGCCTTAACATAATGACTTCCTCATTCTCCCCTCAGTGCAACTCCCCAGCTTCATCAGGCTAGGGTCAGGGATACCAAAAAGCAATGGTCGCTCCAACCCCTGCTCCCCGGTTTGTGGTACAACAGTTGTAGTCAGTTTTCTTCTTGCTGGAACATGTAGCCTCTCTCCCACTCTCTCTGCTGGTCTTGTACTTCCCCTGCTTGTCTGTCATATTTATGAATTTGTTGCTGTTACCAATGCTAAAATTTTTATGGTCACTGTTACAGTAGCTTGCTTGCTGTTCTTGGAGAATGCAAGTGTCATTTTTCTTTCTCCCCTGTTCTCCCAGTTTTGGTGCTTTTTCCAATTTTACCTCAAGCAATTTACTGATATTTAAGTTTGCAAATGAGAGTAAAAAGGTTTTTCTTTTTTTTCTCTCTTTTGCACATCTAAACAAAATGTATTTTTCCTCATAATTGTGTGCCACATTTATTTACATCCATTTGCCATCATGTAAACACTTGACAAGTCCCCAGGCAAGCATGGAAATGTTTGCATACGAATATTAGCTCCAAGTCAGATTTTTATTTGTATTTTAATATATATAAATAAAAATCTGCTCTTGCCCTCTATGACACTGGCATTAAACCCGTGACTGTTCCTAAGCATGCAATGTCATACAACTAATGGAATAGACGCACCTGCTCTTCTTGTCACATGCTGAATGGACACTTTTTACTATAGAAAAGATTTATTTTTTAAGCTATTGTATTATACATTTTGCAATCAGTTCCTACCGTGAAAATAATAATGATGAAAATGTTTGCACAATGTTATCAATTACATGTGGCAGCTGAAATACAGGGAAGATACCCGTCTGGACTCTGCAATGTCATCTTCATTTTATCAGATTATCTTCTCATTTAAGAAATTGGGGCACCTGTAACTACAGACTTTGGATGATGCCACTCTCCATAATGAATGGGACTAGGGTTTGCTTGCATCTGATCTGCACTTTGAATTGGGTCCCTAGCATTAAGAATGAAGAGCTCTGTAACTGCTGCATTCCCTCTGCAATGTGAGGGGCCTGCCAGCATCAAATCTAGAATTGTCAGTCCTTCCAGCTTCTTCAATGAAGATGCCATGTCCTGTGAAGCAGGGTTTTTTTCTTTCTGCCCTCGAAAACATGGTGCTTTCTGATTCACATCCAGTTTCACAAATCTTGTTCCAGCTCTTAAGGTCTCAGTAGGGTCTGATAGGACAGGTTTTCATACCTTTTCCCATTGACCAGTGGTATAACTATATTGTTATTCTTGCTGTGATTCTTGGGATGGACAATCTGAAAATTTTCCTGTATAACAACGTATCAGTATCACTGCTCCTTAAGTCAACGGACGTTAAGTTGGGGCCAATATTTTTATCCCTAACTTTTTTGATGGGAAATGAACTTTCCTTATGATATTCCCTGAGCATCAGACTTGCTGTGTGATAGTCCATTAATATTTGTGTGTCATTTTTAATACAGTTGTTTTTTTTTTTTGTTTTTTTGTTTTTTAAATAAAGGAGCAAGAACGTCGTTCTCCAAATTAGGCAACTGTCATTTCTATGTTCCATCTTGTCCGTCTTCATCTGGTCTCTCTCTCTCTCTCATGCTCAAACAGTGTTGAAGTGCTCAGAGACTTATTCTCTAAACACTTCTGATCCTGGAGTTTGAGTTACTTGTCATCCCATTGCCATCAAAAAAGATAATGGTTACATAACTGGGCCCAATGTAGTTATAAATATGGCTGCTCATGTCAGGCAAGATTTTCTGGGGGCAGGGTCTAACATTGTTGATCGGTAATTTGTTCTTTATCCTGATTATCAGTGTTGTTCTGATGAGATTTGGCAGTGTTTTTGTAACTTGGTCATGTAAAAGTGCGTATGTATCGTATGAGGATGTTTGTTGTTTTTTTTTTTGTTTTTTTTTTTGGCTGAGAAATGTGACCAAATTCGATGCAAATCTTTAAGTTTAACATTTTAAAGTACAAACTAGTTTTACACCTGAAAGATGTGTATTGAAAATATCATCTAGTATATTCATTTTCTAGTATTAAATATGAGAAAATGTGAAGGAAAAAGGACCTATACCTTGTGGTGGTGTTAGTATACCATAGTATATTTATGCTAAGGTGTTGCTGAAATAAGGATGAAATAGACAAGAGTGAGAATTGAAGTTAACAGGATGCTGCAAACAGGATAAGACTGCAGTTTTGCTGGTATAGTATGGACTACTGCAGAATGTATGTAAGGCTGGGATGCATAAATACAAAGCAGGCCTGCATGCTAGCATACTAATCTTTTTTTCTTTTTCAGGGAGTTTGATTTTCTGTTGAAGGAAGGGAGGGCATTTATTGGGAGGATGGGAGAAATCAGGTACTTAGAGACTAAATGCAGATGAAGACATTTTGCACTGGTGTGTTGGAAGTCCATTGTGTCGTTTCCGTAGCAAGTGGTCATATTGAAAAAATGATTTTTGTACTGCGACTTTCTTGGATTAGCAAGTTTATTTTGTGTGTGTGCGTGCAAATGTGCGTTTCCTTACCTTGGTTTGCGTGAAACATCAAGTTGAAATTTATCAGCCATTTTACTGGTTCCGGGTCATTTTACATCTCCCTCCCATGTCTTGTAGTACTTCGATCAAACAATATTTATTTGACTAAAACGTAAATGAAATATATGTAGGTGGCACTCAGGTTTTGAGTCTGAGTTAGAAGATGGGGAATAAGAAGGCAAGATGTTTCTCAAATTAATCCCTAAGCATTTGTATTGATACCATTACTTACACTAGCTTTCTTGCAGTCTGTTGTGGTTTTTCTAAATTAATATGGATATATAGCATCATATATAGCATCATACTTGCACAGATGGTTTGAATGTCATGAATAAGCCATATGTCATATTTTAAGGCTTTTACCTTATTTATTCTGCTTTTAGACAAAACGAAAGCTTAACTTTAGATTTCTGTTTAGTTCGGTTCAAAACTATTTGTAGTTTTCAGTCAGATGTCAGATTTTGGGCCGGTAATAAACATGGGCTTCATTACTCTGTGTTACTCAGCGCTGTTCTTCAGCTTTTGTTTGGAAAAACTACTTCAGCTGTTGTCCTGATACATAGAGATGTTGGCTGACCACAACGCTGTTCTGAATCATCCTGAGTATTCTGACCATGTTAACCTTAGGAGGTAAATAGGTGGATCTGTGGAGAAAGCCTCTCTGAATGTAAAATAACGTAAAGCATGATGGTTCTAATGGTGGATGTGGGATGAAATTCACTGCTTCTGGGCACACTTTGTTTTTCCGTTTTGTTACTTAATGGAATCTCAGTGTACCTACACTAAATTAGTTACAAGTGACTGAGACCAGCCTCACTAATAGGAATAAAATTGGAAGCCCCACATCAGATTTGTGGACAGGCTGCTGAACATTCCATGTCTAATACCCTCACATGCTGGAGATCCAGATAAGGGTGCTTTTCACCCACAGCCTCCTCTTTGTGGCGGCAGTTTTGCTAGGCCAGTTGCTTAAGAAAAATGCAACATGCAGAAATGAGTGACACCCACTGTATTCTATGGGCTGGTTTTCAGCAAGCAATAACTCCTCGATATATAGATATGTCATACAGGTACTGTTCTTGTGTCTTGTGTCTGGTTCGTTTTCCTTCTGACCGTGTGCTTTTATTTATCTATTTATTTTAATAGTGACCTGTGAAAGAGGATTTGTCCCAGGAAACACTAGTTTGCCAAACAGCCCCCCATTGCCCATCTCTCAGGATGCTTTGTTAGAAAATAAGAGTTCAGGGATTTTTGTTCAGGTGTCTTTATGGCAGACCAAATGTAATAGTTATGCAACAGGAGCTGTGGTTTTTAGTTAATTTTGTCTCACTTTTTATGTAAGTTAAGACATGGTGCAGGGGAAATGTACATTTTTGTAAAGTTTTTCATATTGATAGATTCTAATAATATAGTGATGAACTTTGTAGCTTGTTTCCATATTTACTGGTAGACTAATAAATTATATTAAAATAAAAAATACTAGTGAGCTGTCTTTTTTATTTATATATTTTATATATACATTAAAAATCATAACAATGTCATTTTGAAATTTCACAATATTGGATATGCCACAAGATGTGTTTCCAAGGTATAATTTCTGAGAAATACAGTTATAAGTTGAAATAGATAAATATATATTTTGTGTGTTTGCTGGTCATGCTCCCCTTAGCAGCCATCGAATTTCATGTTTACGGCTTCTCCCTGAATTTGCTCTTCGTTTCAGTGAACCTATACTTCTGATAACTGCTGCTTGTAGTGTTATTCAGCATGTATCTCTCATGCATTGTTGTTGATTTATAAACCTTTTTGTTGACTCTTCTGGGTGAGCTTAACCTATGACCTAGAAACACACCTTATTAGTTGGCTGTGTGCGCGGCTTATTAAGCAGGGTAAGTGGCTGTACCCAGGCAATGCCAGTTATTTAGGAATGTGATGAAAGTTTAAATGCAATGTGCATTGAAGGAACAAACACAGTGCACCTCATTCCGACAGTTTGTGACCGTGATCAAGTCGATACAATTTGTTTTTGTTTTTATGGGCTTCTGTAAGTTATTGGTTGAGTAATATCCCTAAATAAGTCTTGCTATGCATACAATTGTCACTTTGCACAGGCCTGGAATAATTAAGCTCAAAAATCAGGATTAATTAAGAATAAAATTATCTAAAATGTAGTAGACCAAGCTCCTTGTTTCATGTCTGCAGAAGGAAAATTAAACATACTGGCATCCCTTACAGGGAGTCTTTTTTTCTTCTTCCTTCTTATCTATGGTTTGAGAATAAAGTTCATTGGATAAGTTATTGTGAAAAAAGGAAGGATGTATCATGAAACAAGTATGCTAGACGTTTTGTTTAAAAAGAAAAAAATAAAATCACTTATTGTGGGGATTGCAGGGATGGCACACCTAGTAAGTTACACCAGATCTTTCTCTTTATGGTCACAGACTAGTTCCTTTTAGGTGGGGTCCCAAGATGTCAAGTCTCAGATGTTTTCAGTGTGTCCTTCAGTTTCCCCGTAAAACCTCCATTGAGTGTCGTACCTAGAGCAGCTCTCCCGGGTGGTATCCTTGTGAAGAGCTCAAACTCTGTTGATTTGATTAGTAGCAGCTCTAGCTCTAGGATGACTTTGAAATACAAACTCTACCTCCTAGCTGAAATCCTTGTTCTTTCATTTATTTCCTACAACTCGTGCTTGAAAGTGAAAATAGGGATGTAGATTGACCAGCTTTCACTATTCTACCAAGGGCTTGCAGAGTGTCCTCAACACTGCAGGCCATGGAAATATCTAGCTGACAATCAAATGTTCGTACTTACTGACTTATATGAAGGTTCTTAAACTCACTCTCCTTATAAGCATTTGGAGGATTTGGAGATACTGATTCTCATTTCCTACGCCCCCTAACCCCTTCACACTTGCAGTATAAAATGATGGCAAAAATATTCAACAAACATTTTTCATTGAAGACAATGAGATGATAAAATTGTAACACTTTACTTGACAACGCCTAAATAATATAGTAGTATTCTATTGTGCATTAAGTAAGGGATAATGTACAGGCAGCCGGTAGTTATCGCAGAAATAAGCCCCGACAGTGTGATCAGGACCCGACGCGAAGCGGAGGGTCTTGTATCACACTGAAGAGGCTTATTTCGCTATAACTACCGGCTGCCTGTACATTATCCCGCTTATTACACGGCTACTTGCCACATAAGGAAAAAAACTGGACATGAATATAAATTTGAAACATTTTATTGACATATTTGTTTTAAATTAACATTTTTAAACGATAATCTTTGTTGGCGCGGACTGATTTTAAACATACAAGTAGTACCAGCTATGCGTTATTACTTTGGAGCGGTCATTATTTGAAAAGAACGAACCTGCAAATGTCTCAACTGACCAATCAGAATCAAGCATTCCAGAGAGCCGTGTAATAACTACAAATAATCATAACACTTTACTTGACAGGGCACAAATACTTAACTCAGTTACTACTGAAGTGTAAATCATGAAGAAATGTACTTGCTACTAAAAGATGTCATGATTCATTAATGATGAACAAACATAATATTTGCTTGTGTTATTCGTGACTTGCTCCAGTAGTTCACAAAGGTTTACAGAATTAACAGATATAGTAACAAATACAGTAACTGCTTCAGATAAAACATGTCACAATTCATTAATGATGAATTAACACGAGGTCAGTATGTAACTAAGACTTAGTTTGTGGTTAATTAATACATAAGTAACAGTACAATACTATACTATTTGTGCCCCATCATGTAAAGTGTTACCAAATTAATTTATGGTGCCAAAAATTAATGCAAAAGTACTAATGTCACCAAGTAAAAATGAGATAAAAATGTCAGGAAGAGACGAATCTGAAACTGCTCTAGGCAACGGTAATATCTTTAGTGTTGATTGTAGTTGCATAGTGTTTACCTTACTGGTGTCTAATGTCTGACTTTAAACTTGTGTTCTCTTGTGGGAGAATTTTATTGTGGAGATTCCCTCCACTCTTGCTGAATGTTATTAGCAAGATTTAAAAATACCGGAATAATGTTGCTTTTGAAAATATTGTCAAAATAGTGTATAGTACTGTGTAATCTTTTGTTGATAAGAAAAACTAGACACCGCCCAAGTCTAGTCAGTGACACAGTCTGCTTTAGGTGGGGAAAATATATAATTAAATAATTTGATAAATTGAATTTGATAGAAAGAAAGGCCCAGTGCAAGCCGTATGGGGTGGTAATCATGGGGGAAAACCCCCACAAACTGAAGGCACCACAAAATAAATTGAAACATATAGGCTAGTTTATTTTTCTTTTAATGTGTTTGAGAAGTTCCTTGTTATGAGCTAAACTATGTGTAGAAATAAAAACATGCCAGTTGGTTTTCACTAGCCTGGTACCTGTTCACATTTTTGAGAGAGGACACCTGAGTTTTCTTTACTCAGGTTCTGAAGATGAGTCTCATGCCAGCCTTTGTATGACACTGAATATAGCACCTTTCATAAACCCAAGGTCTCCAGTAGGATCTGTGGAGGATGATTGCCTGCTGGGACTATTACCTATTGATGATCCCCATCTGTGGAGGTGTACCTGCTTGTTTGGTTCACCCATACTTTCGTCACCACAGGCCTTTTGTGTATTTTCCTTTACCTCCTATATAAACCTCGCCCCTTAAGGGGTATTTCCCTTTACCGCGACTCCTTTATCGCCTGTGTTATAAACCTAGTCTATTTTGGTGTTACTGCAAACATTTTATCTCATGAATAAGATTGGCTCTGTTTTCAGTTACTACATTTTTTAAGAGTTTAAATATACAGTACCAGTCAAAGGTCTGGACATACCTACCCATAGAAAGGTTTATTTGTAATATTCCCATACATTTCAGAATAATTATAAAGTCATCAAAATTGTAACGTATATGGAATTAAGCACTAACCAAAAACAAACAAAAATTGTTGGAGGGGGTAACTGTGTGTTCAGACTCAGAAGGTTCCTGGTTCAAATCCCATGGTCAGCAGAGTGATCCCACCACAGGGCCCTTGATAAAGGCCCTTAACCCCAATTGCTCCAGGCACTGGCTGATCCTACTGTCCCCTGTATGCCGGTTTCATGGGGTGGCCTCCTGGGATGCTTTTCTAGATGTCCTACAAGAGTTCCCACATATATGCTGAGCACTCATTGGCTGTTTTTCCTTCACTCTGGTCAAACTCCTCCAAAACCATTTCTACTGTGGTAAGTAGTATATCTATTTTGTTTAAGCTGATCAGTAGGATACTGCATCTGTTGCAATCTTCTTCTAGGTACTTTATTTTCCATTACATTTTGTCAGAAAGGTCTATGATGCATCAAGCCACGTTCTGACCATGAAGTTTACAGTTCCTGACAAAGCATATTTACAAGAGCAGTTTAGTAAGAGTAAAGATTTATTCTTCTGTTAGTGGTTAGGATACGATTACTTGGAACCCAAAAAAAAACGTAAATGTAAGTCGACGTCTATGTAAAATGGGGGGGGGGAAAATCCCCTGACCTGGTAAGCAAACTTGCCAATGAGTCAATATTTACTTTAATCGTGGTGAGAAAAGAAAGCTGTGAGCTGACAATTGGGAGAGCTGTATGACGCACATGCAACACTCCCATTCCGGCTTATGGTGGGGGGGGCCTGAATGGCTGGGGTGTGCAAGTCTCTAGGGACTGAAGACTCCTTTGCTGGGTGAGATGAAGAACAGACTGGATGAGCTGAGGGGCTACCAGGACAGGGATGAGGGATCTCAAATAGATGTTCATTTTCAAGGTCCTGGCTACTGTAATGCTGGCTATCAAGAGGAACAGTCTTCTGGGATGGAAGAGTTCTTTGGGCAGGTATCTCAGCTTTACATGGATCTAAGCAAGTTACGAGAGTCGTCGGAAGAGATTCATGGCAAGCAGGAGCAGATTCTGTGTAGCACTACTGCTGAGGAACTTTGTGGAGAAAAGCACCTTCTTGCTGAACTCAAAAGACGGTTCTCTCACCAGGCTAGGGACATCCAAGAGCGTTTGTCTCGCATTAAAGAGAAGGATTGGACTGGAACGCTCTGGAAAGGTAGTGCAGAAGGCCGTATTAAGCAGTCCCAGTTCTACAGCCTGCTCCAACGGCACAATCAGGTTCTGAGCCAGCACTATACCTGGGAAACAGAGTATGCAGGGCGCCTGAGGGAACAGATTGTAAGGCAGACACAGTTGGCTGGCCTGGAGCTGGATGAGGAAGAGATCCGACGCCTGACAGATAGTTTGCAGGTTCCCCAGCTAGTGGGCACTGACATCCCGGAACTTGAGGCCCTCAGGAATCTTGCACTTGTCCAGGAGAGGCACCAGCAGCTGTTGGCCCTGGAAGAGCAGATCAGTGAGCTCCACACTCTTTTTCTTGCCCTGGAAGTTATGGTGTGCCAACAGCACTTACAGATGGACCACATTGAGTACAACGTCCTACACACTCTAGACTATGCGAGCGAGTCCTCCGAGAAACTGAAGAAGGCTCTTCGGTATCAGCACCAGTCCCGAGTAGCTGCTCTTGTTTCCTCTCTTCTGGGACTGTGTTTGTGCTGCGGATGCCTGTGTTGTGCATCCCCGAACTTGCCCTTTACCAAGTAACCAGGCTGTTTTGTCCAAATAGGAAAACACTTTGACCAGCAATTAACCATCAAAAAATAAGCTAAGTGAGTTTAAGTTTTTGGTTACATGACTGATATTTCAAAATTACCGAATAAACAATAAATGTTCATGAAATAATGAATATCTGTTGAGACAATGCTATGATAGATTAAATTTGCAGTTTAAATCAAAACGAATTTAAGTCAAAACAAAATTTGTGGTTAGAGCTGACATTTAGGCTGCTATTGGGCCTCTTGGTTTTCAGCCATTTGGGTACTTAGCCTGTGTCTCTTTTCTCATGTTCAAGAAAAGTCTCATTTGTTGTTAGAATGCAATTCCAAATGTATTTATGCTGTGTATAATGCTCATCATGTAATATATCTGTAAATAAAATTGTGTAAGAGACAGGTTGTTTACATAATGTTTGTTTCAATGGTCATACTTATACACCCTGGAAAGCACATGTAGACAAAAAATGGGCATAATACAAAACTAAATGATGTTTCAGTTGTATTTTTTTTTTCTCCCATATGGGTTTGTGCTGTAACTTGGATATGCTGCTATGTTACGTTCTTTGAGCTCATTTTTGAAGCATTTTCTAGCAATATCAGTGGTGGAAATTAATCACAGCAAATTAATATTCTAGTCTTGCACATCCTCAGTTAAAAAAATTATACAGTATATTTATTGTCATTGTCATTGCAAATAATAATATGCACAGGCTGTGTTTTGTCAATGATTGTAGGCCTTTATAATTCTATTACAGATGGATTTCCAACTGTTTTTCTATTTGTATATGTATTAATTGATGAAAGATCAGTTCAGTACAATTAACATAGAACACAAATTTAATGGAATGTAATCAAAAGCCTTTTCCTCCATGGGATTTCATGTGATATTTATTAAACTGAAAAAAAAAATTTTTTTTTGGCTTTTTATGTTTGTGTGCTCATTTTAGGGTGTTTTCTGTGGTAAAGGATCTCTCATTTCCATTGGGGAGTTACATTCGCAATTGTTACGGATTTATGTATTTTATTTTAAATTTTTTGTTTTTTCCTATTTTTATTCTAAATTACGTAGCTTACTATTTACTAATTCAATATTCATTCTTTTTTATAATGTAATTCTGAAGGGTCATAATCATTACTTTAATACAACATATCCATCCATTTACCGTAACCAGTCCCACATCTAATACAATATTGCGGCAAGCCTACTCCAGAAAACAGCGCACACGGGACGGGACACGCTACAGATAATATCACTAAGCAAATGTGAAATAAAACCAAAGCCAAGTAGTCTGCTATGGAGGGTAAATGAATCATGAATCATTCTGACGTTCACGAAGCACGGCCCCTGAACACGTGATGGTGACGTCATCAATGAGCGTAGGCGGAAGTATCTCGGCAAAACAAACACCAGGAAGAGGGCAGATTAAGAACTTAGGTCTTACTGCGATTTAACCGCTTTAGTGATAATTTTAAATATATTTTTTGTAAATTACTGTCTCAGGATTTACAAGCTTTCTTGGAAACATGTCAAATATGGAGAGTATCCTTTTGTTCCAAAAAGACTGGATTGCGTTGAAGACTCGACTTGGCCTGACATAGACTTTGTTATAGTAGGATCCACATGCAGGTTGAACGTAATTATTAGAAATGTCATTTTCGATATGTATCATTATATTCTTTTAGAGTGTCTGTACAAAAACATATATCCTAAATATATCCTAAAATCGGGAGTAGCTTGGCGTTCTATGTATCTAAATTAAGTGGCGTTCAGCAGTTCCAGTCAGGTAAGTCCACTATTTGGCTTAGTTACCTACTTGGAGTCGGTTGTTTGTCGCTGGAGTTTCAGGAAGTGATTGACTTTCTTAGGAATATATGGTTCTTAGAAAAGTAAAGTGCGTTTGTTGTATTTTAAAATTAATAAGCAGATAAATTTAGTGGTTCTAAATATATATTATTCCAATAAATATTCCCTAAACTGCCACTTTTTGCCTTGGTTGTTGCTGTCATGAGTCGTGGGCTATGCCTGAAACATTGGAATCCTAAGCTTCTTTCGGGATGTGTGTTGCCGTGAAATACCGAAATAGAATTGAAAGGAATTTATTGGTGTCGATAGCAAGATTTTAAAGGTAACTAAATCAATCTGACCGGCTGCACCTCAGTAGCCGTGATGTTAAGCTTGAACGCCGCATTGCAATCAACCACAACGAAACTTGAACTATAATGGTAGTCACGTGATTATGAGTGTAACAACGTTATAGTCTTTGTCTCTTAACAAACGCTGTACAACATCCTCTTTCACTTTATGCGTCTATGATGAATTAAAACTAATACTGTAAAAATTGTATTAGATCTTCCCACCACTGTCCCTTCCGCAATCTTGTATTCCCCTCAATATCCATATGGACCTATTTGCGTAAATCTAATCTGCCATATAAAGCCATGACTTTTCACAATGGGGATGTCTTAACCTAATGTCACAGAACATCTCTTCAACCTAAAGTTTGCTGCCAAAGAACTTGAGCGAAATGCCAAGAAATGTGATAAGGAGGAGAAAACGGAAAAGGCCAAGGTGAAAAAGGTGAGTATTCTTAGAAAAGGAGCTGAAGTGTAACTCAGGCTTAATAATTTCAATGTATAACAACATAGAATCATACATGCTTAAGGATTAGGCCATCTAAGAATTACTGTATTGTAACTGATGTATATAATTCCTATAATTTAGGCCATTCAGAAAGGAAATATGGAAGTGGCACGGATACATGCAGAAAACGCCATCCGGCAGAAGAATCAGTCTGTGAACTTCCTGAGAATGAGCGCCCGGGTAGATGCAGTGGCTGCCAGGGTCCAAACTGCAGTTACAATGAACAAGGTAGTAAATCCCACACATCCAGTGCACAAGCTCTTCACTGCTCACATTGAAGGCTGTATGTTCTGTGATTGTTTTTTTTTTTTTACAGCAGTAAGCCTTTTATAAAAATAATTAAAAACATTTTTAAGTGTCAGAATGCATCCATTTTTGAATGTGTATCAGATCTGTATCAGCATTTCAGTTTTTTATGAATGAATCAATCCATCCACCTACTAACCACCCATCCTGGTCAAGATCACAGGACCATTTCAATTTTCATGGTCTAATTGTTCTCAAAACTATATTAATAATTTATAATCAGATTTAAAGTAAAGTTACACAGCGGGTGCTTATACACATGAGAAAGCATAAGCATATCATTATGAAGATGTGGTGGATTGGTGTCACACGTGTAACATATTTTGCGATGATAAATTTGTGCCGATTTGAATCGTGTAAATAAAAAAATGATTCTGAAAATAGCTGAAATGATTATTAGGCTGTCTCTTGCTTTTTCCTAGCTGTAAATGTACATACTTTGGAAATTCACAGGTTTTGTTTGGTCTGCTTTGCAGGTCACTAAATCAATGGCTGGTGTTGTGAAAGGCATGGATGCTACACTGAAAGGCATGAACCTGGAGAAGGTAGGAATTATTCATGCCTGTCTAGGTTGCATATTGAAAGGTCTGCAAGCATTGCATCTCTGGAATTCTCCTCATTGTGTAGAATACTTATGTTAAAACAACTAACTTAATGTATTTATTATATTGCACACATTGTGCTTTTTCCTACATTCTTTGCACTGACATGCACTTTTTATAGTGATCAACCACACAAGCCCATTGAATATACTAACCAGTCAATGTAATCATTGTCTGTTTTCTTAACTGTATGTGTATCTGCTGTATGTATGAGACCCATTGACAATCGGAGACAAGTTTCACATGTATGTCAGCAAACTTGCCCAATAAACCTGATTCTGTTTCAGAAGGGAGACAGAGGTGGTAAAACCTTGAATCCGAGGAACACACATTAGCTTTGCTGAACTCCTATGTGAACTTAGACTCACTGCATGTGGGATTATGGAGCAGTATGTCCTGTGGAACGGGTGTGTGCTCTGTTTCCTCTTCACCAGATCTCAGGCCTTATGGACAAGTTTGAGCGCCAGTTTGAAACACTGGATGTGCAGACCTCCCAGATGGAGGACACGATGAGCAACACGACAACACTCACAACTCCGCAGGTACGGCTGTCTATTTACATTGCTGTAATGTCACTGGTTTGCTTCCATTATGACCACCACAACAAAACCTGTAAATGTCTTCAGTTTTAAGCTTCTAAAATGTGTTCTTCTCTCATGGTTAATTTCATCATTCTCTTTCATATCTCATGATAATTAAAAGGAGAGACACTATATTTTGCTATGTTTGGGTATATGTATTTCTTATTGTATGTCATCTAGCTGGTATTTGGTTTCCTAATGTTTAATTTTGAGTATAACTTGTATTTGGACATATAAATGCTCATGAAATCATGGATATGAATTATGAGTTTGATGTGAAGTTTATCTTTCTCTGTGTTTAAGAACCAAGTGGATTCGCTGATGCATGAGATGGCTGATGAAGCTGGGTAAGAGATTTGTTTTGGTTATTAAAGAAGTCTGTATGTGTATTATTGGTGTACTTGCTGTTATTGACTGTTAGATGGCAAAATTTCCATTACATCAGGTTCCTGATGACTTATGATATAATAGTATATTAATATTATGACAAATGTGCATGTGTGGTACAATCCTGGTGAGGTTATATCCAGATATTTTTCTCATTATGAGATACAAGAATATACCATTATAACAAGATATGATCCTCGGTATAACAATATATGAAACTCATTCAAATAACATTTCTCTTTAATGATATAGTGAGTATGTCATGTTGCTCTAAGGAGAAAAAGAAAAGAGCCAAACTGATAATGACTCATTTCGGTGATCTGATCGAGTTATCCTTCATGCTGGGTAGTTTCACTTAGCACTACGTGAGACTGCATTCAAGCCGTCCACACATAGTTTGTCTGTGTGTGGGGTTTTACGGTAGTAAATTTATACACCCAAAGTTCTGTAATAAGGCAAATGTACAATATACTGTATATACAATATATATTTCCCATTCAAACTATATACAGTATATAATACTATACTCTATACAATAAAATTATATATACACACACAATTCATATCTCCCATTCAAACTCGAGAATGTTTTTCTCTATCTGACAAGTAGTAGAAACGTATCTGATGATAATGAGAAACTGGGCAGATTTTTCCTCACAATGGCAACAATACACTGCCTTTAGGTCTTATAGAACTCCTGCACAGGGCCAGATATCTTGCCTGTTATGCTGTCTCTCTTTAAAACACACACACTGGTATTATTTCCATTGTAGAATCGCAGTGTTAAAAAGCATTGAAATCATGTAGCAGCCCTGCATCTGTCATTTTGGGTTTGATTCCTGGTTGGATAGAAATTCAAAGTTTATTGCATGTGCATTCACTGTATATTAAAACTTAATAGGATATTAAGCATGTGCTTCTGTTGTTGGCTCTCTACAGGCTGGATCTAAACATGGAGCTTCCACAAGGTCAAATGGGTTCAGTGGGCACAAGTGTTGCATCTGCAGAGCAGGTACTGGAAACATACGGGTGATGGTTTAGATCCTGTTGAATCAGTTCATCTCGCGCTATAACAAAACGCTTCTTCTTGCTCCTTTTCCAAAATAAGAACTTGACAACACAAACAACAAGTCGGAAACTGGGAATCCAATTATTATTTTTTTTAATTAAAGGCTGCTATTATTTTTGAACATTGATTTAGTGTTGTTTTCAGTAAAATAATTATATGTATTTTATTTGTACCTTCAATTTACACAACAAACACATTCAGTTGCCAAATGTCGGTCAAATGTTAATATTATAGATAAGAAAATAAAAAATATGGAAATGGAAAACCAAATTACTCCCGAAACCACCCTGCCGTAGACACTCGTTGCTGAAAGTACCAAGCAGCTCCCTGCTTACGTTCTGACCTGTGTTGTCTTTCTCCCCAGGATGAGCTGTCTCAGAGATTGGCCAAACTCAGAGACCAGGTGTAGTGGACATACAATTCGTGCAAGATGTGCCAGAAATATGGTCAGTGACTGTCCTGGAATGACCGGCCGGAAAGAGTCTCTTCCCTCCTCCCCAATCCTGCATTTTCCCCTCAATTCTTCACTGCCTTTAGCTCTAAAACGGAGCTGTCTCCCCCAGTCCTCTATCTTGTATGGGGAGTGGTAAGTGTTTTGTATAGCATATTTTGAATTCTCCACTACACTACAAGAAAATGCATAACATTTTTGTCATTAAAAAGAAAAAGAGGATTTGTAACAGATGTATACATTTTGTAATGCATTTTACTTTGATATACTCTCTTAAAAGGATTTTGTCAAAAGGTATCATGCAGAGAAATTATTTTGTGAATTCAGGCTAAAAGCGTGTTTTGTTTTGTTTTTCTTCCCCCCAATGATAGTTCTTGACATGCATTGCATCAGTCACGTACACCAGATAAATCACAATTGTATACAAACAAAACAAAGTCCTAAATCAAGTACATAAGATAAATATGAATATCTTTTCTCTTTTTTTTTATGTCTGACACTCTTTGAAATATCAACAAAGATTTATGGATATTGTTATTTATCGCTTCCTGTGTTTGGTATTGGTTTAAAATTATTTTGGTGTTACGTTTTATGGATATTGGTCTGTAAATCAATAAAACTTTATTAATGGTTATTCATACTGACAAAAGTATTGTTATCATGTGCAAAACAGTGATGCCTTTGTGACTAGTTGTAGTTTCTACAGCAGAAAACACTGTCACACAGGTCCTAGGTATAGTGAACATGATAATTCTAATGTTTTTGGCACACAGCATCTATGGCTAACCTCACTTTATTGGGTGAGTCCACCAAACCTGAATGTCGTCTTTTAAGATGTAGTTTCATTGCTGTTCTGATATTTAAGTTCTGCTTTGCAATTCTGACAGATGACTGCATTTTTTTTTCACTTTTAATGTGAAGTGCTTCTGCACAACTGGTGCTTTTGCTCTTTATTTGGATCCTCTTTTCTATGCTCTGTTTTCCTTCCTCCATATTGCCGAGCAATTGAGAATGCAAATTTTAATTGAGGCTTTTAAAAAAATCAAGTCCGCTCCTTAGGCCCTTTTTAAGTAAGTAGGTAAAGCAACTGATTAAAATTTAATGACACTCCGAGTAATTCTTTAGGTAAACAAAATTTCTTTTAGTGTGTCTGCCTCGATTTGCGTAGGTGTCAAGTCTCATGGTTTTACAGTTTGACAGCTTTCGCCCTGGTCAGCCCTGGATCAGCAAGGTTTAGGCCCAACCTTTTTATGATGGCTTGATGTTCTCACCAAATTTTAGCAACCATCTCACTGTTCTCACTGCAGCAGTGATACTCTTTTTCAAAACCTGAAACTGAACATTGAGTGCCCTGGCACATTTTTCATGGTCCCCACACCTGCCTGATTTGCATGAATACATAAGTCACCAATGAGAATTTGAGGAGCTGACACAGACAGAGAGCACAGAGGTATAGAGGAAGATGACAAAGACAAGGAAGGTGGTAGATTTACAGTTATTTTGATTGCTTAAATCCTCAAATCAACATCGCATTTATAGAATTTTAAGCATTTTCCTGTGCCTTCACATAAAATTCAATTGTTGAAGCAACAACTGTCTCTGATTACTTTCATATGAATGAAACATTTTTATTGTGTAATCTTAAAAGACAAAATACTACGGACAACAGTCATAAACTGTCAAATACATCCATTATGTTGGCCAACAGGTTTACAGTACAGGGTAGTATTGTAAGTGGTATTGGGAGTCACAGATGCAGAGCAATTTCAAATGAATACAGCCGTAGACCATCTAATCAGCCATGACATAAGTATGACAGAGACTGCAGCTGTGGCAGTTTCAGTGTCATAATGCAACAATAAACATTTCAGTAATAATGCATATGAAAAACCTGTATTTTGAACTATGTCTCATTCATTCTCAGTGGTGTATGTGCAGGAAAAACTACAAAAATATTCAGTAGCTGTTCGAGTATACATGGTAGCATACATGGTAGAAAGTAAAAAAATGGAAGGTGATGCATAAAGTTTGTAACAATTTTAGTGCAAATCCATGGTGTGTCATGTTTGAAACGAGAGCCTGAAAAAGGGTGTTCAGATAAATAAGAGACATTTTAACCAAATCAAATTTAACTTTACTGATCCCAGGGGAAAAAATCATGGACTGGGATGAGAAACTGAAGTATTTGTCAGCAAATGACAGAACGACTAACCAGAGAAGAATGTCCACTCCTATGTCGGTCATCGCTTGAAGAAATGGGAGCACCGAATCAAACTGCTGACCTCTGCTGACACAACCGCAGTCCTGTACTTTAAATCCTGACTTTCTGTTAGCTAAGCCTACGCTAGAGTTGGTTTAATTCAGAGCACCATTTGCCATGGTGATTGAGTGACATTCGGGTTCTGGAACAGAAGCTCTTTTTTTATTATACTAATTATGGATTGCGCTAAACCCGTACCCCTCCCATGTATAATTGAATTGATTGGCCATAATCCCACCCTCCCACGAGCTACGTGGGTAGCTCTGCAGTTAGTGATCTGTGCCTGTGTCTGGAATGTCATCGATTCAAATCTCACAGCCACTGTTTTCACTGTTGGGCCCTTTGGCAACAGCCATAACTCCAAATGCTTCAGGAGTGCTTGGTGCCGACTGACCCTAGAACTTGCGTACTTATATATGTGAGACATAAAGCGCTCACAGGAAGTCTGGGAATGCTTGCTTAATTGAGTAAAACTATTGCAAATTTATTGATTTTATAACGAAATCATTTGTTTATAAAAATACATCAAATAGTTTTAAGTAAAACATTCTTTTCAAGTGGTAATAAATTCCAAATCCAAATAATATTTCTAAAAGAGCTGTTTTCTGCGTTATGAAGTTAACTGACAAACAATCTCATTGGGTGCTTTTTAATTAGTCAAATTTCCCCATAGAAATTGATAAAGTTTCACGCTGGCATTCCCTTTGCAGGACAGCGATTTCCCTTGTCTGGCTGCAGTTTGTCCTTAGGCTCCCTCACTCGATTTTGGAAGCACTAACCGTGCACGCCTAGGCTGACTGAATAGTTTGAGGTTTTCAGGAATCTCATGGAGGGACAGCCGCCTCTTGAACTCCTCTGTGGTAAAGTAGTGCATGATGGGGTCCAAGCAGGAGTTGAGGCTGGCCAAGCACAGCGCAACTGGGTGGCACTTGAAAATGACATCACGGAAGATGCAGTTTTCCACTCCGTTGAACTTTACCAAGAAGTGTAAGGGGAAGGTGAGGTGGTATGGCGCAAAACAGATGAGAAATACCAATGTACAGTAGAGGACCATCTTCAGTGCTTTCCGTTTCTCTGCACTGTGCTGAAGTCTTCTGCTTTTCCCGCGCAAGCTGACTGCTGTTCGCCATGAGCATGTTAGCACCACAGTGAGTGGCAGGATGAAACCCAGCAGTTCTGCCAGCACAATGATTGCAACGCCGGCTGGCACAGTCAGCTTCACAATAGGTAGTTCTGAAAAGCAGAGGGACTTGCCCGGTCCCTGCCGCAACAGGAGGAACGGTAAGCAGCCGAGGCAGACGATGATCCAGCCGGCTGTGCAGAAACAGAGGTCAAAGCGCTGTTTGTTGCTGCTGTACTTCAGTGGGTGGATGACGAGACTGCAGCGACGCACGCTGATGCAGACCAGGAAGTAGATGCTAGCATACATATTCACATATTTTAGATAGAAGCAGAACATGCAGAGGAAACGTCCAAAGGGCCAAGTGTCATTTAAGTAATAATAGATCCTCAGAGGCAATGAGAGCACTTGGAGGAGGTCTGCCAAAGCCAGGTTTATCATGAACACTATTGCCTTCTTGGTCTCTCTGATGTACGCGCGGAAGACCCAAAGTGCCAGCACGTTGCCAACGAGTCCCGGCACAAGGATAACTGTGTAGGTTACTGCATAGATCAGGTGCTGATATAACTTCAGATCATGTCCATCTTCACATGTATAATTCATTTTTAATCCCAGCTCCGAGCAGGTCCACCTCTTTCTTACATGTGTGACTTTTTCATTTGTTGGATTTTAGTAACTCTTCATTCAGAGCGTTCCCTTTCTACACCATATATGCCATTTTGAAATGTTATCATCAGACTTCTATTGCCTCAATTTTGTGATTATTGTGGCAGTTCAGCACCTCCACAAGGTCAATATCTTCATGTCCTTGATATGAGTTTTTAAATATGATATTTGCAGATTTCTGTAAAACAAAAATAAGATCAGAGAGTGAGACATTCACCCTCAGAAGTGCTGTATTCAGATATAAAATGACCTGGATTATAAGACAACCCCCCATTTTTTCTGCAGCTATTTTTAGAAAAAAGGTTTAGGATCTTCTTTAGAGAAGAACAGGAAAAGCTCCCGTTCTATATTCCCTGAGGTGGCCCCCTGAACCTTACTCAATTTTACAAACTGGTGTTATAATTTTTTTTAACTTTTTTGTACAGTGATTGATACAAAAGGATTACAGAAGAAAGTAAGTCACAAATAACCAGTTTTGTAATTTTTCTATGTTTTATCAGGAATTAAACAAATAATAGATAAATGACATTCTAAATGGTCTCAGATTATTGGTGCTGGGTTTGTGCTGAATAAAAGCATATGGGATAGGTGAAATATATTTCAGATAGGTGAAATATATCAAAATCTCAAGGCCTGTCAGACTACCTCAGAAGTGGTTGACAGGCCTCAGAATGTCAGAGGGTTTATATTCAGTGTATACAAGTAATTATAATGATTTTTTCCCCCGCTTTTCTGCTTTTGAAAAATGTGTTTATGAAAAACAAAGTGTCCTTTCCTTCAGGCTGTTTTCCAGGGCAGTGGGGCAAAGACTTTGCATTTTCCTGATACTTTTCCAAGACAGAGGCAAAGGTGAAAAAACATTTCTATTTCAATGCATTGACATGTGGTCCACTTGGCCATCTTTCTCGTGGTTTATGACTTACTTAACATTTGTTTTCTTTTTCTGCAAATTCGTGTCCTTTATCTGCATTTGTAGCGTGCTTCAGTCTTTTTGAGAAAACTCCCTCATTACATAATTTTGCAGTCCCTGGGGTTTCAGCAGAAATATGACTGCACAATATATTTTCTTGTAGTGCTAGGCAGTGTTGCTCTCCACGATTTTATGTAAGTAAATAACAGATTATTCATGAAAATCAAACAATTAACACACACAAAGAGTGTGTAAGAATATATATTGTAAAATGTTTCATTAATAGATCCCAGAGAATTAAACAATGAATTTATTAAGATTTTTGAATAATATGATGACAGTGGCATGTTCCATTAGTGCTCGCGTTGGTAGTGTTTTCAGGTGCTGAGATATTTAGTGCTAGTAGACAGGAACTGCAGTGACCAATTTATTCTAATTATTGCAAAATATTCTTGCATCATAGAACTAATACAACAAATAAACCTCTTCTAGAATTTTCGTGAACGAATGTGACACAGGAATTATTTCAACTTGACACATTACTCTTTATAATGGCATTGGAGTAAACAAGCATATATTTTTTTAGTAATGTTGTTCTGATAAGACAACTAGTCTCTTAAACATCCACACATACAGACAGACACCAAAAAAATTCTTCCACCAGTTCAAAGATGTCCTACCTTTTATTGCCATGCCAGATTTTTGAAGTACCCCCTGTAAGACTGGAGAAAATGATTTGAGAGACATCAGTTAGTACAGATATTCTCCTGTGCCAAAACTATTAGGTTATCCCAAAAGGAGGAGCACTGCTCTCTCTCTCTCTCTCTCTCTCTCTCTCGCTCTCTCTCTCTCTTTTATAACAGAAAGTGCAAAAAATTACCTTTGAAGTGTCCATTAGCTCATGAATTTTCCTTAAGCTATGTTGCATAGAAACTACAAGTTTCATTAAATTATAATGATATTAATGTCAGGAAACATAGAATTGCAAACATGTTGCCAACTGGAAAGGAAAAGAGTCAAATAGGTATTTTCTTTTTAGATAGAACTCAACTTCATACCTACTTTTAACAGAAAGTAAGCTCCTCTACTAGGTGTTATGTACTGTGAGTTTAACTAAACAAACATAAACTCCTCCAATTTAACCACATTCATGAGTAGTGTAATCAATAGTTCCAAGAAAGAGATAGTCATAGTCTTCATGTCTTTTGGGAAGGCTGTCCACAAGGTTTTGGAGTGTGTTTATGGGAATTTTTAACCATTCTTGCAGGAGAGCATTTGTGAGGTCAGGCACTGATGTTGGATGAGAAGGCCTGGCTCGCAGTTTCCACTGTAATTCATCCCAAAGGTGTTCTTTCAGGTTGAGGTCAGGGCTCTGTGCAGGTCAGTCAAGTTCTTCCACACCAGACTCGCTAATCCATGTCCTTATGGACCTTGCTTTGTGCACTGGTGCGCAGTCATGTTGGAACAGGAAGGGGCCATCCCCAAAGTGTTCCCACAAAGTTGGGAGCATGAAATTGTCCAAAATGGCTTTGAATGCTGCAGCATTAAGAGTTCCTTTCACTGGAACTAAGGGGCCAAGCCCAACCCTTGAAAACCAACCCCACACCAAAATCCCCCTCTTGTATGGATTGTAAAGCACATAAAGTTTTGGCCATTCTGTAGCTCAGCTGAGAAGCCTGAGAAAGCAGGCCTGAATGACTATTACAGAATCATTGATGCAAGGCTAAAAACCATAGTAATGTCTGAAATGTCTCATTTGCAAACTGAAGAGGAGGATGGGAACGTTTATTTCAGTGCACATAAATTACTACAGTCTTCCCCCGTACCACCTGGGGGCACTCCGAGTACAACTCGTGCTATGCGTACCAATCTTTTATATGAGCCAAAATAACTTTTTCGCTCTTATTTGGAAAGTTGCAACTAGTTTAATTTAATTTCATTAATATCTCTTAATATTACTGGGAAAATTAAGAACTAAAAAAAGTGATTCGATCCTGTATTTGTCCATCTAAGGTTTCGCCACTGAGCGGTCAAAAAGAAAACTACCAGCGGCAGGAAGGCTAATAGAGCTCGTACCACGCATGCGTACACTTGGGTTTCCATGGCATCGGAAAACGCTACTCTGCGTAGTTCATCAACTAAGAAAACTTTAACAAGGTCATTAAGGATTACAAGATACAGCATCTTGGGTTTTATGCGTGTATAATACTGAAATATTTAAAATGGAAGAATATTATTCCGCAGGGAGCCTACAAGCGCTGTCTGCGTTACTTTGCCCAATGGAAGACGATGAAGACGACAGCTGTTCGGTACTGTTTCATGAGCATAACTAAGATGACTAGAAAATGAACTACTGATTTAAGCCTTACTTGTAAGCGATGCTTTGTATTAGAATAACCGTAACAATCTAGTAGATATTCTAGCGGATGCTGAACGACGTTACGATTTTTAATGCCATAGTTTACTTGTTAATATATATTAGGCTATCTGCTAAGCCTTTAACTTTGTATTGACACTCCTGTATGTAAATATATATCTAACGATTAAGTTCTTAGACTTTTCACTGACAATGATTCGATATTTTTCAAATATTTCAGTCTGCAACAGCCCAAGCTCGGCTTGGACCTGGTCATATCGGTCCCACTAAGCAATCAGACGGCACCTCGGGTGAGGGTTTAGGATTTAATTTTAACTTTGTATTTGCAAAAGATGTGCATTGAGCAAGATGGATTGCTTCTTCTTTTTCATCACATTAAATAGAATGTGGAAGCTGTTTTGCCATTATGTACAAATTCCACCTAAGTCTATATGAGTTAGTCCTGAATACAATTTTTGTGTACAAAAGCAGGACGTGTGTGAAAATGGCCTTCTTAACTTAGATGCTGTCCTGTTCTGCAGCACCCTATCTCAAGAGAAGCAGTAAGGACATCTGGGATACTGAAGATGTTGCGGAGGGTTCAGAATTTGATGACATCGCTGATCCTCGACCACAACCTGAGTAAGAGTGCTTCAGTCAAATATTTAATATTTCCATTGTCAGCGGAAGAGGGGGGGGGGGGCGCTTCAAATTTGTGTAAATGCATTAATTTATTTAGTACACATTGACAAAGTGACATATAAATAAGGCAGATAGTATATGGCTTCGGTATGACTTTAAATAATCAGAGATGGGTTTTCGTGACAGGTACGACATAGTGCTGAAGCAACATGTGGGAGCAGAGGACCTGTTTCTGGGTATGACCAGGAAAGATCCATCCTCAATGTGCTGCGAGGACATGGTGGTAAATATCCTTCCTACCCATCATTCAACAGATTTAATATAGCTGGCTTAAAATATGTCTATTCTCTAAAATAAACTATAATGCATTGCTTCATATGCAGTGAACATATAAAAAGTTTATGCACCATTATTAAAAGTAAAGCCAGAAACTGACAAATCATGTCAGACATGTCTCTCTTTAATGTAACCTTGCAAACAGCAAAAATCAGCAGAAAAAAAAAAACAAATGGCTAATTCAGTAGTAAAAATAACTGAAATAATAAATTGTCTCTGGTTTTTATTATTATTTTATTATTATTATTATTATTATTATTATTATTATTATTAATATTATCTTGATTTCTGGCTTTGCATCACAAAAACCTGCTATTTCAATAAGGGTGCAGTTTTATATCCACTGTACTGTACATAAATGCTTATTCTATAATTTTATCTCATAAATCGCCTTTTTTAGAATACCTTCATGAATCTTTTAATTAATAGGTGAAGATCAAGCTCCCTGACACAAATGCTGCTGAAGTCATTCTGGATGTCAAAGAAAAGTTCCTTGATCTTAGAACACCAAAATAGTAAGATTCTGCATTATTTTTTTTATAGAAAAAGAGAACTGGTGTTTGTACTGTTATTGTCCAGCTGTCCTCCAACTGCTTATCCAGGACAGAGACCTGGCGGGCTGGAGTCTCTCCCAGGCGTCATAGGACACAACACAGGGAAGCCTCTGGGCTGGATATCCATCCATCGCAGGGCTCACACTCACACAAAAAGTGTTTAATCCAGAGGTGGATGTTAACTGGATGTCTTTGGACTGTGGGGGTAGTACTGGAATTACTGGAGGAAATCTGCACAACATGGGAAGAACATGCAAACTGTACTCACAGAGCTATGATTCAAACCCCCAAGGCAACACTGAGCCACCGTGTTGCAACATTTGTTTTTATGACTATCCGAGGTGCAGGACTGTTGTTCTGCCCAGGGTAGGCAGGGAGGAGCAATTGCTTAACATTGTAAATTACTTTATAATGATTAAAAAAAAAAAAAACATAATTACTGAAGACTGGTGCCAGTGTGTTTTACTGAGGGTTGCATCAGGTCAGGTGAGGTTGGGGTGCATACACCCAGCACACGGTAAAACTCCTAGGGATCCCGGCTGGCGACCCCCCCAGGCAGACAAACGGTCCAGTCCCACCAACCGGAAATAGCCATCTATCTGCCACAGCCAGGTGTTACGTGGGCGTCCTCTCGGCCTGGTCCAGTCACTCATGTCCTCAGAAATGAGCTGGGTCACTCTTGGGTAAACACGCCACATGGCCGTAGGAAGTCACCAGAGATATGAATATCGCTGCTGAGGTAAATAAAACTCTCGACAAGGTCGACATTCTCCCTGCAGACAGATACACTACTGATGGCTGTGCCTAAGAAGTCATTAAATGTCTGGATCTTGGTCTTTATCCAGGACACCTGCAATCCCAGACACTCAGACTCCTCGCTCAGTCTCTCGAGAGCCTCAATCAGAGCCTCCATTGACTCCATGAAGATCACAGCATCGTCAACAATGTCAAGATCAGTACATTTTTCTTCACCGACATATGGCCCACAACTGCTGGACCCCACGACCCTGCCCAACACCCAACCCATACAAGCATTGAACAGAATAGGAGTAAGAACACACCCCTGATGAACCCCAGATCAACTGGGAAGAACCCAGAGGTTCTCCCTCCACTCTGCACAGCACTCACAGTACCAGTGTACAGGCCGGCCATGACATCCAGTGACTTCGGGGGGATCCTGCAAAATCTCAGGATGTCCCACAGGGCAACTCAATCAACTGAGTCAAACGCTTTATGAAAATCATATCTGCCGATATTCCTGCTTGCACTCAATGAGAACCTACAGTGCCAGGATGTAGTCAATGGTAGACTTCTTAGGCATAAAACCAGACTGTTCCGGTCGCCGACAGGCAAGCAAGTCCTCACGGATCCTGTTAAGGATGACCCTAGCAAGGACTGTACCCGGCACTGAGAGCAGTGTTACCCCCCTCTGCTTGCCACAATCTAGGCGATCACCCTTACCTTTCCAGATAGGGACTACAAGTCCCATTTTCCAGTCAGTTGGGATGATACCTGACTCTAAAATGGAAGCAAAGGTTGCCTGCAATGCCTGTAGAGCAGCGTTACCACCAGCCTGGAGAAGTTCACCCTGGATACCACAGATCCCTGAGGCCTTGCCTACCCCCAGCTGATTCACCACCCGTGCAATCTCAGGAGGTGCTGATACACTACAGCAACAGCTACTCCCTGAGGATGGTAGCCATCAGACCGACCAGACCAAAAGTAGGTATACCCACCTACAGAGATCTGGCCACTCCCCACTCTGTGTACCTCAGAGAGTGCCGGCAACGAAATGAGTTTACGAAGCTCCCCCAATAGCAGAGGAAGATGGTCATCTTGCCGGAGACGTTCCA